TAGTGAGGGAAACTGAGTGACTGGGACATGGGACAGAAGGGAGACTGTTCACTTATGCCCTTCTCTTCCACAAGACAACAAAAAACCTTCCAGCTGATGATGCCACTTGACAGCAGCACAGCTATTGTCCTTCAGGGACAGCCTATACTTTTTGCCATGGCCCTTTAGTACAGGCCCTGCCTCCATCCCCAGTCCCCACTCCTACCCACCCAACACCTCCAACTCTACATTCTCTGCATTCAGAATTCCAGCTGGGTATTTACTTATTTCAGTTCTTCCAGTTCACATGTTCATTCTTGCCCCTTAATCTGGACTTTCCCTGAGGCCGTCTCCAGGAATTCCTGCTTTTAGTCCTTCTGGTGTTGCTTCCTTTCTTCCGAAGGACCTGGGTGGCTTGGGTGGTGTCTACCTTTCAGGCAGTGAACCATGGGCGACGAGGCTTCCCCAGGGAACCCGCGAACCAGGGCAGAGCCCTGCCCACTGTGGGGGGTGTCCACCTCCTGCCTGGGGAGGAGCGTAACAGGCTTTATTCTCCCTCCCACCTTCTTCTAGGCATGCTGACTCCTGGGCTCATATCATTCGGGCTAAGAGACTGAAAGGGCCCCAGGGGCCTGTGGGGGCATCTCATGCTTTCTCAAGTGGCCTTAGGGAAGATGCCTCACTGGAACTCTGAACTTCACCTCCCATTTGCAGAAGGAAATTGGTGCTTGTGTCCTGCAAGGTATCTTCTATTTCCAGACATCCAGTTGGTTAGCACCCTGTCCTCATCAAGCCCTGTGTACAAGGAAGATAGCCTGTCCCCTTAAATCTTTGTGTTTTGGAGGATGGGTTGGATATAAACACTTAAGATGCACATCTGGTCAGGTGTGATGGCTCACTCCTGTAATCCCAGCTACTCAGGAGGCTAAACCAGGAGGATTGCTTGAGCCTGGGGGTTCAAGACTAGCCTGGGAACATAGACCCTCATCTCTTTTTTTCTCTTAAAAAGGTACACACTGGGTAAACTCAGTGAACTTCAGGTGAATGAGGGCTTGGATTCTGTGTCTTACAAGAGCAAAATGGCTAAAAGATGAAGTAGTCCAGACCCCAGAGCACAGGAACAAGAGAAAGTATGTAGAATGTGCTCACTGCCCTGGAATTGGATTGGCACAACTGACAATGGATGGAGGGGAATGATTCATCACATATGCATTTTCTCTCATCCACAATTTGCTGTCTTTATACTCATCCATCTTGGATGAGTAACAATCATAGGAAATCAATGTTTAGCCTCTTCTCAGTGAAGAGATCTGGGATAAATATAACAGAAAGCAAATTATTGAGGTCCAATTGGACAGATTTGATTTGAGTTTGTAGGTTCTCCTGACTTCACTTAACTGAGGCTGTTTTACGGGGCTTGGTGTGGTGACTTACACCTGTAATCTCAGCACTTTGAAAAGCTGAGGTAGGGGGCTCTCTTGAGCTCAAGAGTTGGAGACCAACCTGGGCAACATGGAAAAACCTTGTCTCTACAAAAAATAAAAAAATTAGCCAGGTGTAATGGTGCGTGCTTGTAGTCCAAGCTACTCAGGAGGCTGAGGCGGGAGGATCACCTGAGCCTGGGGAGACTGAGGCTACAGTGAGCTGTGATTGTGCCACTGCACTCCAGCCTGGGTGACAGAGACCCTGTCAAAAAAATTTTCTGACATGGACAACCAGAAATATGTCCCAAGGACACTGGAGAAAGCCGAGGGACACCCAGGCCTGGCTGTGGTTCCCACAGGAAGATTTAACTGGAGCCTTTTGGCAGTCCCAAGTTCCAACAGCTCTGGTAGGACCATTTCACTCACCAAAGCTCCAATTTTGTTTCTCCTGGATCAGACTTAAAAAACAAAACCTCAAAAAACTGTGCAACACACTATTTAAAAACATGCACTCCAAGTCAAATGTAAACAAAAAGGGATATTTTATAAAGCACAAGTTTTATAAGGCTGCCAGAATGTTTCTCTGTTGGTTTCAAAAATTGAAGTAGAAACCACTTAAGAGTGAAAAATATTCCATGGAGGAAATTCTTGGACACTGAACTCCCAGGTTTATGTCACAGAGAAGTCAATGTCTGTGGACAAGAGCCCCATGGTCAAGGCAGGTTGTGGGAAGCCAGTGGGCTGGGTTGAAGTTTGGGAGGACACTGTGTACTGTGAATAATCATTTGCTCCAGTGGGGCTTCAGGTTCCTCAGTGATGACTGAGATGTCATGCTTAAGTTTTGCCAAAGTTTCCCAGTTTCCCAGTCATGTCTCCCAAATGTACACACACACACACACACACACACACACACACACACACACAGTCATTCTCTGTTCTTAATCCAGCCAGAAACTGATAGTGGGAGGTCTAAAGGCCACAGTCTAAGGGTGGCTCTGGAAACCACCTCTAACGATTGACCCATTTCCAAAGACTTCCAGTTCAGGCTCTAACCTCCCACCACCAGTCCTATTACCTCCTGGACCTTCCTCTTCCTTCCTCATGTGCCCTGTCCCAACTATGTTGCTTTCAGCTTTTAGAAATGATGAGTGAAGAAATCAGTCACCATTCTTGGGCCAACTTTGAGGCACCCCTCTGACCTGATGGGTCCCTCTCTATTGTATTGAGGGCATTCTTGGCCTGGTTAGGGGTATGTTGGCATCAAGATTTCCATCATCTCATCCTGAGAGCAATCTCCCACACTGAATTTTGCAGGTTGACCTCAGAACTTAGGGAGCCAGAATAGAGCTACTTTATAGCAATTGGACGGAATACTTTTGTCTGTTAAATAAGATAGTAGGGGAGGGAGTTTATTTTTATTGTATTTTACAAAAGAATTGGACTACGTAAATTGGAAAAAAAACCAACCAGTGTCACAGCTAGAATTCACAGATTGTTTGAGACTCACTGGATAAGCTAGGAGGACCTAGAGCTACTGCTAAGGGTCCAGAGGTTGAAGGGCCCAGAGAAGGGGTGGCTTTCAAGTGTTAAGAAGTATGGATGGAAAATAGGAAACGTGGAAGTGCTTACAGAAGCCTGTGGAATGACATCTGTGAGATCGGTGCTGGGGTGCACTGTGGGGGAAAATGGCAAAGTGTGGGCTGCCACAATGGTGCTCCTAGGTTGGCCAGAGCCACCCTAAAGGCTCCATATTTTCCTAGAGAAGGATTAAGTGCTGGTTAGGGATGACATTTTCACTGATGAAGGCGCTGTCCCCCAACCTTCCCTACAACCATTGGGGACAGAAGGTCTTGGGCTGATTATGAGTCAGGGCCAGTGATAGATGTAGTGACTGTCCAAGAGAACAAGAAACTTTCATGAGAATTTGAATTCCTGGCTTGTGTTGTCTCTTCAGCTCCTGTCTGTGTTAGCACATGTAGTATGTGTGGATAAGACCCAGCTCTGGACTCCTGGATTAAACCCCCTGCAGCCTCTTCCAAACCATTGTGCTATATACATGTTCATTCCCCTCTAACAAGTGGCATTAAATCTCACTTTGGAATGGGGCTGTTGAGGGGCATCCCAACTGCTTTACTGTGTGGGTAATGTTTTCTCCAGGAATGAACATTTTATAACAAAGATCACTGGCAAAGAGCTACAGCTTTGCTGATGAAAATCACTAAGCAACCCCACTTCAGACACCATGCTGAGCTCTTCATGGTCCCTCTCCTTTAATCTCACAACTCTTACATTTACCCTCATTCCACACATTTCAAAGTGAGGCTCACATTTTCTCTTGCACACTTCTCTCTCCTTCCTTTGTAATACTGCAGTCATACCGAGATATAGCTCATCTGGGTTACAAGGATTCAACTTTGTGAGGAATTATATTTTACATCTCAGCCTGTGAGAAATTTTGTTTCCAGGGACCAATTTCGATTTTACATGTCAGTTGAGCAGCTGAGCCTGATGAAAAGGGAGTCACTGTGTGGTCACTGTCATAACGTCAAGCTGTGGCTGCCTCTCAGAACTCGGGTTGTTAGGTGGCAGTAACCTCTCTATTAATACGGTTTTTGTTTTCACCTTTTATTAGAGGTTTAATTATATAAACTTTGAATATCATAAGCCAAAAAACAAACCCAAGGGTCAGAGACGTCAAATAAGTTGTCTAAGATCACACAGCTAGAGAATGCTTGAGCCAGAATTCAAAACCAGGTGCATCTCTCCACTCATATGCTTAACTGACACAATAGTTAGAATACATATCATACTGGAATTAGAAATATTAGAATGAGATTTAAGTCATGGATAGGTAAGCTCCAAAGAGGCTGCTGTTTCTTGATGCCATGATTAAGGTGTGAAATATTTCAAAGGCAATGAGGGGAACAAGCTATAAATAGCAATGTCTGCAAAATTAGAGTTTGCATTTAGAGACATGCCCCTAAGTCTGGTGACACATTTATTGGCTATTATGGGCACAGATGAAACTGCATAAATAAACCCCTCTCTCCATATTTTTGTTTAAAAAAAAAAAAAAAAGCTCATAGCTGAAGATGTGGCATGTGCAGAATGGCAAGGTGTAGGAATAGTTAATGGAGATCCCATTCTGGTTTTTCCTTGAGGGGGCTATTTGACTCAGATCTTCTTTTCTTCTTCTTTTTCTGGTCTTGTCTTTTTTTTTTTTTTTGAGACAGAATTTCCCTCTGTTGCCCAGGCTGGAGTACAGTGGCGCCATCTTGGCTCACTGCAACCTCTGCCTTCTGGGTTTAAGTGATTCTCCTGCCTCAGTTTCCCTTGTAGCTGGGATTACAGGCGTGCACCACCATGCCTGGCTAATTTTTTTTGTTTTTGTTTTTGTTTTGTATTTTTATTTGTATTTTTAGTAGAGACAGGGTTTCACCATGTTGGCCAGGCTAGTCTCGAACTCCTGACCTCAAGTGACTAACCTGCCTCGGCCTCCCAAAGTGCTGGGATTACAGGCATGAGCCACCGCACCAGGCCTCAGTTCTTATTTTCTATTCAATCATGTATGTTGAAAAAAAAACAGACACACACCAGTGTTACAAAACCTTGTATTAATCATTTCCCTTCACTTTCAATATAACGTTGATATGAAATATAGCCATGATTCTTAGTTACATGGGAGGAAATGAATAATAAATACATTGTAGCAAGTTTAAACCACAAGGGTGTTTCACTGGTAACAACATTTGAAAACTGTACACTTGCAAAGAACAGCATCTTCAAACATTAGTATATCTGTATATCAGTAAAGCTTTTACATGTAACAAACATGCTCTTTCCATATATGACAAATTTAAAAAATATGCATTGCTTGGCAACATGAACTAGGCAAAAATATTTCTTTGTTCACTAACTTTATACAGGAAAACAGGACGAAAGGCATGCATGTACAATACAGATGCCTGCACAGGGCATGCAACAAAAGAAAGCTTTTTAAAAGTCAGCTTACATTAGGCATAAATACATGAGGATTATATATTAATAAGGGAGGAAGTTTTCTGTTCGACATTATTAACATTCCTGTTTTCTTCCTATTCCTCCCAGAGGAATACACATTCACCTTTAAGTAAAGATAAAGGAATTACAAAAAAATAAAACTCACTTTGCAAACATCTCTGATGACTTGTAAAAAAAAAAAAAAAAATCAACATTAGTGTTATCACAGCTCCATGTGCAAATTATCCTTCTGCAGGTTCTTCTTGTAACAGGCACACCCGAGCGCCTTGGTCAGGCTGCTTCCCCAGGCCCAAGCTGGAGCTAACTGCTATAAACATCTCCAGGGACCAATGAGACCGGGCCTGCTTTTTGTCCCCTCGCCCGCCTTCTGGTTGCATGCCTTTGCATTCAGCCCAGCTCATCCCCCCAGCCCAGGCTCCTGGGGAACACACATCTACAACCTTGCACCGGCAGTAGCTACAAGAGGTGCAGAAGAACAAAAGACCCGGAGAAGGCTCCCATCCCGTAAAAGGCAGCCAAGGACACCTCAAAAGAAACCCTTGTTTCCCTCAGTGTCTCTTCAAACGAATGGGAGAGAGGGGGGCCCAGCTCTAGCTCCAATCCTGAGTACCAAAAAGGAACCCTCAATACACAGGATTTGAGAGCTCGGTGCAAAGAGCCGCCCCGACAGGCAGACCCAGCCACGTCTATTTTGCTTGCTGGCTCTCGTTTAAAAAGTGAAAACTCAAAAGCATGTGAAAAAACAACAACATATCAGCAGCAATGTTTAATGTCTTGTACACAGTTCATGTGTTTCTTCCTACTGTTTCTGGTAAGAAGCCACTATGAATAAAAAGCACCAATAAAACATCATACATGATAACAATATTGTAGAATACCACTGTCCCTAGGACAATGTAGAGATGCCAAGTACACACTGCTTAAATCAGAACAAGGGGGAAAACATGTAGTGAAATAGATTTTACTCTGAGATTTTAAAATTGTTACTATTTTCTTAATATAAAACAGTTGCATTTGGTGGGGGTCAATGGGTAAATACAAAAAAAGGCACTGCTGCTTTTATTACTAAATATCTGACTTCACAGCCTTATGCATGCAACTGTTTGATTCTTTTATAAATAAAATTCTTTTGCTTTAGGATTTTTAAATTGAGCTGTATACCTGTAGTCAACACAGGACTCAAAACAAGGTGGGGACAGGCTCTTAAAATTTATCAAACACTCAACTTAAAAAAAAAATTAAAACACTAATAGCAAAACACAACTAAGTAGATAAATCTATACACTGTCAATGAAAAATAAGCTTTTCTTCTTTAAAAAAAGAATTATGTTGTTATTAATAACAGACTTTATCATGGTTACCAGCCATAGCAAGTTAATAAGTAACATATCCAAAATAATATCTCTAATAATCAGATAACCATTGTTTCTATATTCAGTGAAGGAATAAATAGAAATTCAGATTTGCAAATACTTTAAGGTCTTCTTCCTTTTAAAGGATTCATGCGAATGTGATTGTGTTCACAATCTGTTTTCTGAATAACATGAGTCTTTATGGATATATGTGTTTTTGCAGCAGATCCGAATGCTTTCCTTTCTCAGCGAGATGTGTAACACCATGGTTTTTTCTCCTCTTTATTCGCTTTCTCAGTATCCTACAAACCCACATTCGCAAACCCTCTGGTCTTACCTTTGGCCTTCAACCTTTGACCTATTCTTCCTGCCTTACATGTGATCATCCATCCCAACACATCCCCCAAGTAACACTAAGCTTGTTTAGAAAAGGGATGTGGGGGATGAATGTTAATGGCACTTGGTTAAAAATAATCAACTAAAAAATGCCATCTTTTTCTGCACATGGATTTGCATCTTTAGAACTTAGTCACCCAAGGAGAGGTCTGAAACTTTTTTCTTTTTAATTCATTGCATGAAATTGTGGCTTCAAGCCTTCTATGCTCACGAAAGGTTTTCTATGGTTACATTGTTCTCACCTTCTTAGACTCAAATTGACTTCAAAAACCTGGTGGCGGCATCCAAGACTGGGTTGGGTGTATGTTTTTGATCTTGAAAGTAAAAGAAAATTGTTCAGATTTCATTAAGGCCTTTTAGGTCTGTATGTAGTTCATTAGCTTAAAAAAAAAAAAAAAAAGACAGTGATTTCCATAGTCTGATCTTCTGAATTTCAACTCTGACTTCACATACACATACATACACACACACACACACACACACAAAAAAAAAAAAAAAAAAAAAAAAGAAAGGCACCCGACTCATCCATGTAACAAACAGGTCTTGTACCATCTCCCTGATCTTGCCTCCGGCCAAGCATTCATACCTTCATCTACACAACCTGATTTTCCACACAGTTAACTCCTCTTTGATTTCCTCTAATACCCTCCACTGCGTCAAATTCTGAAATGTAGCCTTTCTTGCCCTTCACAGACAGAGCTATTACTTTGTGGTAGGTACCATAGTTTCTCAATCTCCCACCAAGTAACCAGTGTCTTTTCCCTCCCCTCTGTGTGGATGGATAAATCAACCAACACAGCAAATCCCTAATTCATACTGTGCGGATAGCGCTGTCATTTCCATCGTGAAATCAACCTTTCCTACATCTTTCATCGCCCACCGAGGAAGGTGGGGCTGCGCCGTGTGGGCCAAACATCTCCCTTCCTGCACTCTCTGGCACTTGCTGACGGACCCTCTGTACACTGTTGCTGGGCCTTTCTTCCCTCCTTTTCCTCAGCAGTGATGGGTGAAGTGGATGCAGCCTCCAGGCTCGAGTTCCTACAAGCGATCCTAATGTAAAGGTTTTGAGCTCGTTATCTGGGTATCAAACCTCTCACAAGGGGAAAAAGTCCATCCTTGCCTCTTCTCCTCCAGTGGAACTTGTACCCACCTGTGTGTGTGGGGGGCAAGGCTGGGAGTGACAGGATAATGCCCCATGGGTGGGGAGGAAAGGGAGGGAGGCCTCTCCATGACATGCAAATCCAGCACAGAAAGAGGCTGCAGGATTCTTTGAGAATCTCTGGGTGCCCTGCGAGCAAACCCATAACTGATCACATGATGTCCTCATCCTTGTGCACTCACCCAATGCTGTGCTCATTCTGGCCACGTCCATGTCCTTCAAGTCCACCCACACGCTCCTCCTGCCTAACGGTGAAAGACGGACAGCTCAGGCCTACGTGACTGCATCCATCTTCCCAAGAAACAGAGCTCAGCAGCCGTTTTAAAAAGACACTCTGCTGCTCTTACAAAAATAGAGGAAAAAAATGAATCCATAACAACAACAGATCCTTTACAAAAACCATAGTATGAAGAGAGGTTCTATCCAAACTCTTTACACATTATGTACCCTTTAAAATTATTATGTAAACAATACACAAATCAAAGTTTAGCTGAAGTTTTGTTGGAGGGAATTTCTTCCTTCTTTCCCCCGTTGCCATGGGCCCTCTCCTATGGCTGCTTCCAGCAGGGGCCTCAGGGAAATCTAATCAGGATGGGATTGGATATAAAAGGCAAGCCACTATCTTGCTTTGGGTGCACATGCCCACAATATCCTTCTGTGGCCTGCCTGTAAAGCCAGGCCTTCCGAGAAGCCTCCCCAGGGCCAGGGCTTCTGCCGTCCTCTTGTGTGTCTCCTATCTCTTTCATGGCAGTACTCTTTCCCCTGCCCCCTTTCCATCCAGGGAGCTACCTGCATTCCCTCCACTCCCTCCGCCCCCCTCCCAGTCTCATAATTCCCTAGAGACCCCTCCCCACCCCACACACCAAACCATCCCGTGACAGAAACAAATGACAAAATAACCAACCCCAGGTCTACTGATATGTTTACGAGGATGACCTACGCTCTCACAAAATCAAAACGGGAGAGGGACCAGGGGAAAGAAAGGCTGCAAAGTATCTTGGAGGATTCTGTGCAACCCTGAAGATGGCGGACACTGGACCCGCAGCAGTCGATTTCACGGCCAGCGCGGTCACTCTCATCTTCAGCTTCTAGATTGTGGAGGTCCGGTCAACCCCGTCTGGGAGAGAAAGCAGCAAACAATGGGCACAGGTGAGCAAAACAATCCTGTTCGTGCCCACCTATGCCAACGCCATGCATGGTGGGCCTCCCAGCCTCTGAGGGCAGAGAAGGGCTCCTGTGTTCATGTGTTCATGCATTTATATGCCCACCCACACAACATCTGGGAAATAGCTATTTTTGCCAGGAACCATATTGAACCTGAGAACCAAGATGAAAATATCTAATTCTCACCTCCCAAGTACTTATATTTGAGGGTAGACACAGACATGTAGCCAGACAATAATGCTGTATGTGATCATTGCTATAACGATCCAAGATAGCAGGAACATGGAGGAAGGAATGATGGCTGCCCAGTTGGTCTGGGAAGTCAAGGAGTTTCAGAGAGAAACAAAGTGACTTTTGTAGCTAGTGCTGGCAGGAGAAGGAGGAGGGTGGGGATGGCGTGCGGTGCACACATAGGCGGGATGGTAGGTCATCCAGTGGTGGAGCTGAGGGTGCGTTGGAGGTTTAGGATGAAGGGTGGGGAATGGAGTAGAGGAGATAGGGTGAAGAGCCAGGCAGGGGCTGCGGCAGACACGCAGGTGGACCTGTCTAGCTCACATCCCTTTCTTTGGCAGCCTCTCCTTCTCACCCCATGTCTCTGATGAGAGACTGGGGACAAGCTAGCTGTGACCCTGTCCACAGCTGAGCAGACCATGAAGGATGGATACATCTGATCCAAACAAATCCAGATTCTCTGTCTCGAGAATCTGATCAAAGGCAGAGATGTCTGAGGTAGGTGCTGTGGGCACTTAGAACTGAACAGTCTCTGGGAGGTGGGAGAGTGCTGAGGCTGCCCAGAATCTGCCACATCTACATTTTGGAGAAGTGGAAAACCCAAGCTACAGAGAAGGCAGGCGATACGCCCATCAGAGGTGTGAGGCCTGCCCGGCCCCTTTTTGGCTATCTGCTTACACATGGATTCTAGGAGGGTCCCCAGGAGCAGACCATAGGGTCTTACATACCATGAACAAGAGCTTAGAGGCAGGTAGTTCGGGAATTATAAGCAGTAGAGTAATCAGATTTCATTTGAGAATGGTTTATCTGGTAGTTGCATCAGATAACCTGAAGAAGGATAAGGCTGGTGGCGGGTGGACCAGTTAAGAGGCCCCTATAATGGTCTGTGCCAGAACTGACAAGGGTCTTTTCCAGTGAGCAAAGAGAGGCATGGATTAGCCATCACAGGCGGTAGAAATAACGGCATTCAGTGACCACTAGATGTGGGTGAGACAGGGCTGCGGGGTGCCTCCCTGGCTTTGCTGATGTCCCAGTCCAAGCCCCAGTATCACAGAACTGGTCCACCAGATGCAGCATCTCTGCTTGGCAGAACTCGGGTGTGAGAAGGGAGTGGCAGTGTGTTCCAGGGAAAGCTGGAGGACCCAAGTGATAGAGGGGGCATGCTGAGGCCACCACAGGGGGTTCCTGGCCTCCTCGTGGATGCAGCCAGGCTGGCAACTCTGCCAGTGGGGCCTTGGAGGAGAAGCACTTCTTCAGTCAAAACTTTTGAGATAACTGTAGGTTCACATGCAGTTGTAAGAAATAGTCCAAACAGACCCAGTGTACTTGTATATAAGTTCTGTATGATTTTAGGGGAGATTTTAAAGAAAGGAAGCAATGGTCCCTGCGTGTGTCAGTGGTGTCAGATCACCAATCCTAGAGGCCAACAGATGTGAGCCTCTCTTCCTCCATCCCTGAGTCGCAAGCATCCGAACCTCTTTTACTGTGCTTTCCTCTCCCTGCCCATTCCTCTTCCCATAAAATGACTTAATTAATTGGCATACTGTCTCCAGCAAGGCCATCTTTCCTGGCATCTGGAAGGGGTCGGCCAGGAGAGAGGCTCTGTCATATTGGGAGGGCACACTGCCACTGTGCCCAACTAGGCCACCCTGAACTTAATTTGCATTCTCTGCTCAGGAAACTGCTTACGAGGCTTCCCACCAGAGGGGATTATTGGGAAAAAACACAGCAATAAAAAGGCTTAGGAGATTAACACGATGAAAACATTAGCAAAAAACCCATCAGTTCAGAGAGGTTTTCTGTAAAAATAGAACAGACTGAAAAAAATGAAGTCTTTTTCAATGAAAACCTTCCTTTAATAAAGAGCGTTTGGTATTCTTGCTGCTAATAATGATAATGTTAGTACTTAGCAGTTTGATATGAGCCTCCAAAATGCCAATTGTCTGAGATGTATCAAGCTCTGGGAGAAAAGGTCAGTTCTATCCGTTCTCCTTCTTCTCTGGTCAAAACCAGTGAAAGACTGAATCAGTCCTCCACCCAGCTGTAGAGCAGGGGAGCACAGGGACTTCCCTCCCCGTGTCAGAATGCTGGCAGGCGCCAGCTCAGGGGACTCACTCACCAGCTGCCATCCTAACTCTGGTCCCAGGGAGACTCTCATTACTACTTTTAATTGAGATATTTGCATATCATAAATTTCACCCTTTGAAAGTACACAATTCAGTGGTTTTTAGTACATTTGCAAAGCTGTGCAACCCTCACCACTATCTAATTCCAGAATATTTTCATCCTCCTCCCTTCAGCCCGTGGCAACCACTCATCTACTTTCTGTCCCAGTAGATTAGTCTATCCTGGACATCTCACATAAATGGAATCATAATGCTCTGTGGTCTTTCATGCCTGGCTTGTTTCACTCAGCATGTCAAGATTCATCCACTGCGTTGCATAGGCGGTACTTGTTTGCTTTTTAGAGGCTGAATGCTGTTTCACTGTATGGCTACACATTTTCTTAAGCCATATTCATCCTTTGGTGGACATTTGAGTTGTCTCCCATTACTCATTAGGGGGCTGCTGACCCAGTCTCCTCTATGAGGTAAAGATGAGCTGGTGGCACCTCCTGCTGCAGGTGCCAGGGATGGCCCAGTGATGTTCCTGAGATCTGAATGGCCAAGGCAGAGAGCAGTGGTTCGCAAATGAGGCTCTTTATAGAGCCCTGGGGGAAGTCATAGAAGGGGCTGTATCTTCCCACCATCTGTTTGGTGAAGCCCTGTGATGCCCTTGGAAGGCCTTCAGCTCCCCCTGGTACGGAGGTCAGGTGGGTGTGCTCCTGGCCCACCCCTCTGCTCCATGCAGAGCATTGATCTATTTCACATTTGGTTTCAGGATAAGATTGTGTTTGCAGAGACTAAACATCTAACAACCTTAGGTCTGGAGGACAAGGCTCTCTGAAGCAGCAGAGGATGGCAGTCTTTTCCTCACACTGCCAGGGGTGGTGCACATCTTGGCTCTAGGTGTGCAGACAGCCCTTCTCTGGGTGGGTAAGTGTGTGTAGACTGGATAGGGCTATTGGAAAGGCTCATAGGAGGCCTCTCTGTGTCTCTGTGTCTCTGTGGCATACAGCCTCCCAGGAAGCTGGCAGGAAATGGCAGGCATCTCTTCTCTCCTCTGCCTGCCAAGCATTGTAAACATCCAGGCCCAGAGAAAGGTGCCCGCCTAGTACCAGGAGGGAGCTGAAGGCCTCCCAGGGCTGCTCCCAAGCATGGCTTCCAACCAAACACACGCGGGAGCACGGCTGCTTCTGTGAGCTGCGTGTGGAGCTGCAGCCCTGCACGGCACAGCCCCCATTCCTGGCTTGGGCAGTGGATGTGCAGGCCCCTGTTAACTCAACCTGTCCCTGTCACACAGGAAAGGACACTTCAGCCTGCTTTGGGCTCCAGGTGTCAAGAAAGCTGTTTGCAACTGGGAGATACACAAACAAGCTGGGTTTTCTGTTTTTCAAAAATTCTATTTTTAGGGCAGCTGGGCTATGCTTGGACCAGGCCGGGGGATCTAGTGCAGAGAAGGGAAGCATCCAATGTTGTACGGGATATTCCCACTAAAAGCCATGTCTCGTGTCCCTGACTCCTCCAGGACTGGCACTTGGCTGGGACAACTGCTGTGGTGTGATTCCCACGTGTACCGGGAGGTGGAGCTCCTGGGGACAGAGGGACAGCTCTGATCTCCAGGTCCCTGACTCACCTCCCAGAAAAGGAGGAGGAACAGGGCACTGGCCATTGGCATGGTGCTGCTGGAAAAGGGTCCAATAGTACCCTAAGGCCACTCTTTCTCCCTGTCCCCTGCCTATCCCTCCTTGTCCTCCCCCAGTTCTCCTGAGCTCCTGCCACAGTGTAGACAGCAGATGGCCAGAAGTTCTCCCAGGCACGTGGTAACAGGGACATGGGGACGTGCAGGAAGAACACACTCACCTCCCAGGGCGTGTTCGGTCATACTGAGGCACAACGACTCCAGCCTGTTGTTGATGTCAGGTTCGGTCACGGGAAGCTGGAATTCTGCAGGGGATAAAGGGTTATGTTGGTGACAAGGAGGAGATAAGCAGGGTGCCACCTGGTTCCACCTGCAAGAGAAGGGTCTGGTGTGCCTCCCCGGGAGGACTTGGGGACTGTCAGCGCTGGCATGGAAGGGGCTCCGCTCAGGCTCAACCAGCCTCTAAGGTCTGTTAAACACAGTCCACTGTGAACTTGGGAACCTGAAACAAAACAGAGACTAAAAATAGCTGGTCATGTCACAGTCTGTGCTTCCTCTGCTCAGAACCCTCCAGCGGCCTCCCATCCTGCAAGGCCCCGTGTGATCCAGGCCCTTGTTATCTCTGTGCCCTCACACAGCTCTCTCCTTCCTCTACTCTGCCCCAGGCCCCCTCCTACCTCAGGGCCTTTGCACCGCTGTTCCCTGGAGTGGTTTCCATGGCTCTCCCTGCCTTTGCATTTCTGGCTCTATCCTCTCCTCAGAAAGGACTTCGTTCCTTGTATGAGCCATGACCCCACACCCTTTCCCGTGCTTTATTTTTCTTCATAGCCTTCGCCCGCAGCTATCATATTTGATATTTGTATTCACTTTCTACTGTCCCCCTCCCCTGACCCGGCTGAGTGCTCAAGTGCTCACCTCATTGGAGCAGAACTTAGCTCTGCCCCCTGTGCCTAGAGCAGGGCCTGGCCCGCATCTAGAGCGGGGGCGGAAGGCAGGGCCCGGCACACACCTCTTCTGAGTGCGAGACCACGTGGGGGGCTTTAGGTGTGTGGGCTCCTTAATCCACCCAACAAGCCCAAGTGGGGTTGGGAGAGGTGAAGCCACGCATCAGTTACCCAGTTCACATGGAGCTGGGGCCAGGCCGCCTCTGACTCCAGAGCCAGGCTCTGCCACCTGCCACAGCAACTGCAGGTGATGGTCAACGCCCTCAGCCTTGAGGGCCTCTAGAACCAAGAGCTGAGATGCCCACTCTGCAGGCAGTAGGGGCTCAGCTCCCACTGCCCGACAGTGCTGTGCACATTCTCACCGCAATCTCCCCTCTATCTCCCCAGGTTCCAGTGTCGCCTGTCGTGAGCAGGAGGCAGCCCCTGGGAGCCGCCTCGTCTCCCCTGCTGGAGCTCTCGCTGTCAACACCTCCACAGGCCTCATCCGGTGGCGACTTTAAATGTCCTCAACTATCTAGAAGTGCCTTGCGGACAGTGATGATGCTTCCCTATCTCTCTGAATCTCCCTCAGCGCCCGGCCCTGGCCTTCTGCCTCATACATGTCTACTGAGTGAAGAAAAAGCGAAAGAAGTAGAAGGAAACTCTGACAGCTAAGAGTTGTGAAATCCCTTTTTTTTTTTTTTAAACATTTTGTGACACTAGTTTGAAAAGAATTGCAAAATCCTACAGGGAGAGGCAGAAAAAAAGTCCCAGAGGCGGTGTCCAGAGCGGGGTGTGTTCCAGGTGACCGAGAAGTCTCCGTGTTGCCACCACCTTCCTCCGTGAGCCTGGGAAGCTGTTCCCTGCTGAGGGCCTTAGCTCTTCTACTTGTCAAGTGGGGAAAGCATTCTGGGGTCCCACTGCAGGCCACCTGCCTGCTCCTTCATGTCTCCACCAAGGGAGCACATGGGCCAGAGAGAGAAAGAGAAGTGAAACAAGGTTGGTGGCTTGGCGGGATAGGAAACTGAAACCAGTGGTTAAACCAAAGTTTTGTTTTCCTTGATTTGCTATACATTAAGATAAATCTCTGCAATGTGTGTTCCCATTGTCCGCTAATTCAGAGGCAGATGTTGCTTCCGTTATTTAAAAATTGCAAAGAGAAGGCTGGCAAAATGGAACGCTATGGAAAGCACCAGAGAGCTGACTGTGTTCTTCCTGACCCATGTTCCGGCGTCGATGGGTTTGGAAGACAACCGTGCCAGTTCGTGAGCAGACGGAGGCTGACTGAGCTTCCAGGGAAGTGGGGTGCCGCAGAGAATGGCAGGAGTCTCCACCGCCCCCACCCACTAGTTGCTGTTAGAGTAGGGTCGGGGCAATTAGACAATTCCAGGGGGAAGAGATTTTAGTATTTTCATCCATTCATGTGAAAATCATATGCATGCAAAAATTAGCAGTCTTCAGGGTGTGAAATCTATAAAATAGAAACACAATTTTATATATAGCGAGTTAGCAAATACGAAAAAAAACAAACCTCAGCAATTATAGCCATCCATATGCTCATTGTAAGATTTAGTTTACTCTCCAGCGCTCCCCTTTAAACAAACACTGTGGAGAGATTTGGATAAATAAAGATGCTCGACATTTGGAGAGAAGTGTTTCAGCTGCAGGATTTCTTGCCAACACGCAGCAAAATGCCATTTTCCAAGCCTGGGATTGCGTGTTCCAAAAAGGGGGCTGAGAAACGCAGGGCTCTCCGCTCCAGAATCCCCAAACCTTCGTGGCTGCTCTTTTAGGTGGGAAGTGGGGGTGTTCGCTCCTTCTCCCCAGCTCTTGGCTTCCAGGCGCTGGGGAGCCATGACCCCCACCACTCTGAGTGGCTCTGAAAAATTCTAAGTCTTGGGAGAAGCCCATATGTTCACACTGCAGAGTTTCCTAATAGTGTGACTTTTTAATTGTGTATTTGATAAAAACAGATCCATGCCATCTCGCCGCACGTATAAGACAGACCAGTTGGGTGGAAAACAGCTTCCATCTCAGGCTAGGAACCCTCAGCCGCATGGGGCTTGGTGCCCCAGAGGGGCATTCGGGCAGCTCTTGCCCCACAGACCAACTTAAACCACCAGACCAACCCTTGCTGTGGCTCCTGTTAACCCTGAGGGCCCGTCTCATTTATCCCAGGCCCCTGCCCCTACCAGCCACAGACCAGGCAGATGGAGATCTGAGTCCTAGGAAGGCAAAGGTTAAGACCCCTTTTTAACTGAGCCTCCTCTGCTGTTTCCCAAAGGGGGCATGTTTCTTCAGCTCAGATGGCATCTCTGAGGACCGTTCCAGTATTCAGTAAGGACCCCCAGTTTTGGAATCCCCAAGGTCTCGGCTGACTTGAAACATTAATTGTATCTTTTCAGAAGTCTCACATGTATGGAGTAGTCCTGTGCTCAGGCCCAGGGTCAAGAAGATTCCGGAAGAGAACACTACCCATCCCTAATGAGGTGTTGCTGTAGCACCCCCCTGAGCAGCCCACAGGGCTTGTCCTTGGCAGTAACCGTCCATCCCTACTGGGTCTCATGTGTGGCACCCTTGGTACAATTCTGCAGTGCTCTTTCTCCAAGGCACTGAGGGTAAGGAGCCAATTTCTTTAGGACTTTAGAATAAGAATCAGGCTGGGGAATTCCAGGAAAAATCTGTAGAATCCCATTTTGCCAATGACAGCTGAGGCAACTCTGTTGGATAACTAGAAAGGTACGGAGTCTGGTTCACTGAGGAGCAGGGTTTCTAAGAGGAGAGAAAGCAGGGAAGACAAAAAGGGACAGAGAAGTGGGACCTGGACCACTGTGATGAGATGAGTAAAGAAGAAAGAAGACAAGAGAACTAAGAAGAAAGGGGGAGGATGGTAACAAAAGGGAAAGAAATGGCATAGGTAGGGAAACAGAGGGGCGGGGCAGCAGGCAAGCTGAGGATGGCAGAGACGGCCATGGAGGGTGGCAGGAGGGTATGAGTAATAAATGGCATCCCTGAGTTGGCTATGGGAACACACCTTTTCTCTGGTGGCCTCCTAACATTCCTAAGCCTGCAGAAGAAGGTCAGTGCCTGTGGAGGTCCTCTGGGACCAGAGTTTTCACAAAAAGTGATGGGTACATGGTATAAGATGATATTGTACCATCTTGCCCCAAGTTGATGCTCAGAGGGAGGAGGCTGTGGGCCCAGCTGAGTTCTTGGTTGTGACAGAATTGATTTATCAATCTCCCTACCCATTGTCTGCCAGTCCTGAAGAGGGATGTCTGCCTTGATTTATTGGAAGACATGGAGGAAATATTTATCCAGTACTGTACGTGGGTCCCTGTTCTGGTTTCTGCCTCTGCATGGCAGCCCCTTCCACTCCCTAATGGACCCAGTGCACCAGTAACTAACTCTCTATTCTTTCTAAAGGCAGTTCTCTGGAAGGAAATGAAAAATAACAGCCTGGAGTGCTGTGCTCCCAGATATATGCCGAGTGCTTACGGTAGAAGAATCCCAATTGTGAGCTGGTGCTTAGAGGAGGTTTGCTGTGGTGAACAGGTAAGTCACACCATGAAATGCTGCCACGTGAGGCGCCACTGGACCCAGCTCACATCCAGCTGGTTCACTACCAAGGGTAGTTTGCATGTGGCTTTGGGCAAGGGAAGGATGAGGTTTCCAGAAGGCTGTGCAGCTTACCCTTCTGAAGGTTTTCCTTTGAAGACTGCTATGGGGTTCCCTGCCCTTTTCTGTTAGGCCCTCCAGGGGGTAAAGAACCTCCATGATCTCCTACTGTTGAGCCAGAGCCACTCCAGGATCCTCTCTGACTGGATCCCAAGGACAACTAAGCCCGGGTCAGTAGGAATTAATTGCTTCCAAAATAAAGGATCCCTCTCCAAGCAATTTCCAAACCAATTATCTAGTTGAGAACACACCCTGCCTCCATGAGGAACGTGACCATTTGCACGGGCGCCACACTAGTTTTCTGGTGAGTGTATTATACCTCGTAGTGTTTCCTATTCATCTCCGGCAATAGCCACCTGAAGGCTCTCCTGGCTGGTCCCAGGAAACAGCTAAAACTTGTCCATGTGGAGGTGGAGTTTGCAGTGAGCTGAGATCGCGCCACTGTACTCCAGCCTGGGCGAAAGAGTGAGACTCTGTCTCAAAAAGAAAAAAAAAAATAAGAAAATTGTCCATGTGGGAATAACATGAAACACCACTCCCGAGGGGCCTCCAAGTGCCCGTGAATTGTGTAGAACCAGGAACAAGGGAAGTGTCCTGTAAACCCGAGCAAGGTGACTGATGAACTGATCCGCAACTTGGAGGTGGGTTCTAGCCCTCTGTCTTCTCTGTATGAGACGTTTAAAGTCTCCCATCAGTAGAGTTATTTTAGGTTTACAGAATCAAAGCATCCTTCAAATGCATTGTAGTCTTCAAGATTTGCCCAGTTTACAATGGATTCTCTGAAGACATCTAACAGCCAGGAGGAAAACACTGCATTCATTGCATGACAACAGTTTTCTGAGTATTTACTTTTGGGCTGGTTACACATCTCAATTTCATTTTGTGTTCGCTATTACTCCTGTTCATGTACAGATGAAAGCCACTTTCTGACTTCTTGATTTTTGCTGTCCTGACATGATATTTGTAGTCTAGTTTTAACGCCTGGCCACAAGCCCCGGGAAGTCACCATAGCGAACCAGATTGCACTGCTTCGTGTGGAAAGGCCCATCTGCAGAAGAGGCTCTGAATCCAAGATGAGGACCCTGACTCTAGGATGAGCCTTCGTTTGGACCTGCTTGGAGGTCAGAGGTGTTGTCCCTGGGTAGGAGGCTGCCTCCTTGGGGGGAAGGAGAAGTCACTACAGTGACGCGTGGCCTTGACAACCAGCATTTGATTGGCAAGGGCTGGGGAACCGCAACCCTGTGCCCTTAAGCAGGGACCTTCTACAGCCTCCTTCCCCTTCAGCGAGGGATCCTGGGTCCTGGGTCCTGGCCAGGCCCTGCCCTGTCATGCCCTTTATGCATGTCCTGGAAGAGCCACCCCGCATGGTGCTGAGCGTGCTGGGCAGGCCCTAGGAGTGGCTCCTGTCCAGCGCTCAATGGTTTATTTGCAATCAGGAAATTTAGAGCGGGCTTTTTCCTGTGCTTTGGCTGTTATTAAAAATGCTGTGTGAGGACCTTTAAGGCCTTGCTGGAAGTGGGTTTGTAATACTTGAGAGATTAAAAAGAACACTCAAAGGGTTCCAGAGTTTTAAGTCTAGTATGTGAAGCACATTATTTAGAGACTTGTAGGTAACTACAGTCTGCTTAAAGGGGTTGTGCCTGTGGGCTAGGAAGGGGAGAGGGACAGTCACTTTTGCTTAGGGCCCTTCTGTATTATTTGATTCTTTAGCCACAGGAACAAGAGGCTTCATATGAAGAGTGAAAATGATATTAGGTTCATAGTTGCCCTGAGCACAAGCCAGCCACTTGGCACTGCTGTGAAACAGTGGAGCGGAAACAAAGGTATAGGTGGAAGATTCTATCAACAAACCCAAAGTGCTCCGGGACGACCCAGCTCTTAGAAGGGGGACTGTCTGGACCTAGTCTTCCCAATTAAGATGGAGAAAGCTCAGGGAAGATTCCGTATGAACAAAGAGGAAGGCTGAGAACTGGCAAAAGTGGCAGGAAGAGAAAAAATCAAGAAGGCCTTGAGAAGGTATAAAGAATTGAAGACAGCAGTCACTCTGCTGGTGACACTGAGGCCAGGGTGAAAGACCCATTCAAGGTGAAAGATCTCCTTGTGTGCAGGACCTCTTCAAATCTTGTCCAGAATCTCTTTTATTGGGAATGGATTCTACATAATTCTGTGTGAAAACAGAGGATGGGATGAAAGGACCCCGGGAAAAAGCCTTCACAACCCCCAAATGTTGTCATGTTTCTTCCCAGGAAAAACAATAGCTACATGACATGTATAGAAATGGAGAAAAGGAGCTTTAAAACAAAAGTGAGCAAATAAGAGTTTTGGAAGTCAAGAAGCCATGTGAGCAGGCTTCTGCACTGGGTGGCTGTCGCTCCCCTCCCTGACATGCCGTTCCCAGCGGCGGGTCCTCTCCTTCAGCGTCCTCCTCCTCCCTGGCCTCCCAATTTCAGCCTACCTCCTTCCATCCTGCATCCTCCTGCCTGACTTCTACTCGGAATCCCCCACATGGAGGAATCCCCCCAGGGAGAGTGGCCAGAGTCCAAGCTCCTCAGCTTTGGATTCCAAGTCCCCCACCATGGGCCACAACCTTTACAGCTCCCTGGGTCCACTTTCTGCTACCTCAGCCAGACCCTTCAGCCAGCCATGGCTTCTGGGCCATGCTGTGGTATTCTGGACCTTTGTGGTCTTGCTCCTGCATTCTTTCTGCCTGTAACTCTGCCTTCCCTCTCTCTACCCTCTGCTGTGCCCTGAAGCTCAGCTCCAATTTCAAGAAGCTTCCTTGCCTATTGCAGGCCACAGTGACACTTCCCTTCCTTAAACTCCTATAGATAGGACTTACTAGACAGAGCGTTTCTACTGTCCAGGGCATTTTCCTACAGGTATAACACATCTCTGGTTTGCCTGCCTTGGGTGGGGGGGTCCATCCAGATAGGTGCAGTATAATTGCCTGAGTGGCTTGTTATTACCCTTGGAGTCTACAAAGTCTACAAGATCACTGCCTGCATAGAGAAAGGGTTCGAGTATTCATTAGCTGTGCATAATTCCAACCACTCTGTTTTAGGAAGCATGATGAAAGCTGATATTGACTTGAAGTGTGCTAAATTGCGCTTTAACCAAGTAAAGGAAAGATGGCTGGTACAACAGTCATCACTTCGCAAGAAAAAGCCCAAACCAGGGGGAAGGTCTCAGCATCAACAGTTTTCTCTTTCTCTGTCTCACTCTCACTTTTTCTTTCCACACACACACACTACACATGGAGCCCTCCCACCTCCCCACCACCAAAGCCCTCTTGTGCTATCTCTGGTTTAATCAATCTAGAAATATGACTAGTATCAAAAATATCCCCATCAGATTGCAAGCAACTCTGGGGCTCCACGTGCTGGCTCTCAGCCAAGCCGCCGCTATTCATGCTGGCAAGGCACAGTTTAAAAAAGGAAAGGCTTCTATAAGCTCCAAAGAATGCACGGTGACAGTCAAGGCTAAGCACTTTCCGGCTGGGTTCGCTGGGGCATCTATTTTGGCCTCCCCTCTGTGTCAAGGGGACGTGAAGCGCCGGGCCCTACCTGGCTGCTGGAACATCAGCATATTCTGTGGGGAAGTGTGCACGGGCAGCGAGCGGGTCCTCTGGACTGAGCTGTGGGTGCGGCTTGGCATGCTATTGCTGCCCCCGGGGTTGGCAAACCACAGGTTCTAGTGAGAAAAGCAAAAGGGGAACTCGTTAGTTCAGCCCCGCTGGGGTGGACAGCAGAGCCGCCAGCAAGAATTTGGGAGGCAAAGATCCCAGGAGAACTCTAACTTCTAGAAAAGGGGCTTGCAGGCCAGCGCTAGCATCTGCATATTTACAGAGAAGGGTTTAGATTCCATTCACTGTAATTTCTCTTCACCTCCTCAGTGCTGGCCTTGCTGTAAGCCTCAGCTTCATCTGGACACCGCTCTCCCTGTCTGCAAAACTCTTTTTATCCCAGTTGTTGCTTTTGCTTTTTCCCTGCCACTCTTCTAGGAAATGGGGGAGTTCTATAAATGTATGCAATGAAGAGCACAAACTATTTCAGGGCTCTCATTTTGATTTTTTTTTTTTTTTTTTTTTTTTTTTTTTTTTTTTTTTTTAGATTCTTACAATGTACTTCAAAGCGAGGGGGAGAGAAAAGAACCTCTCAGCTGGCAATGAGCTGGCACAGCTTAGCTTGTGTGTCCCAGCAGTGACGTCTTCTTGAACTGATCTGGGGGCTGGGGAAAATGGTCAGAAGACAGGGCTTTCTGGTACCCAGGGGAGTGAATCCTGCCCATCTTGCCTGAAGGCCTTTTCCTGTTTTTAAGCTGATCTGTCATCCCTTAGTTTCTCCTGAGACCCCAGAACCTCAGACCTACTTGTGTCCCTCCGATGCTAATCCCCACCCACAGAGCTTCGAGAAGCTCTGGACACGCAGGCAGAAGGCACTAGGCAGGGGTGAGGCCTGGGGCTAGAGGGGTATGAGCGACGGGCCAGAGAAGTCAGCTCTAAATTGCACAGCAAGAACCTCTGGGCAGGCTGAGAATGTGTTAACTTTCCCCCTGGCGCACACTCTCAGACTATGTCCTGTGGATGCTCCACCAGAGCTGGGACTAATACAAGGGAGCTTTTTGCCACAGATAAAAAGGGAAGGAAAGTACCAGGCTCTCCTGGAGCCCAGATTTGGGAGGTAGAAGGTCAAGCATGGGGCAAGGAAGAAATAGGTCTTGCATTTCTTTCCAAAGATCCTCTTGTGCAGGGTCCCCAAGGTTAAAGTGGTCCTCTGTGCATCCTAAGCACGGCTATGGGGTTGCTGTGTCTCCCAGAGAACAACGCAAACAATGCTGTTACCTCTGAGGAATGGTGGCAACTGCCCCCAGCATAGTCCCCCTTGGCCTCTCTCCCCACCCTGGGGTCACCTGGGGGGACATCTGCAGCCTCAGGCCTTGGCTTGGCCATCCTCCTCCCTCCTTGGAGCAGAACAAACCTGTCTTCCTTGTTTCATGATGGTGGGGGCAGCTGTGGTGTTGCGCTGGTTGGAGCTGACGAATCCACTGGTGCCCAAGAGGCCCAGGCGGGCGGAAGGGACGTTCCGAGAGGGGATCTGGTACTGGCGCGGGTTCCGTCTGCCCATGCCACTGCCCATAGAGCCAGCCGTCGGGAGGGAGTTGGACTGCCCAAAGCCTCGACTGTGAGAGCCAAGAGAGAAGGAAGAGACGATCAGTTATTATTCAGCCCTTTTCAAGCCACAGGCTTCCCATGGGATGTTGCCTTGGGGGGGGTCTCTTCACATTTTTTTTTTTTTGAGGCAGGGTCTCACTCTGTCACCCAGGCTGGAGTGCAGCAGTGAGATCCTGGCTCACTGCAGCCTTGACCTCCTGGGCTCAGGTGATCCTCCTATCTCAGCCTCTGGAGTAGCTGGGACTACAGGCATGTGCCACCATGCCCAGATAACTTAATTTTTTTTTTTTTTTTTGTAGAGATGAAGTCTCACTACGTTGCCCAGGCTGGTCTCGACTTTTCAGGCTCAAGCGATCCTCCCAACTCAGCCTCTTGAGTAGCTGGGACTACAGATTTTTATATTTTTGTTGGAGACAGGGTCTACAATGTTGCCCAGGTTGGTCTGGAACTCCTGAGCTCAAATGATCCTCCTGCCTTGGCCTCTGAAAGTGCTGGGATTACAGACATGAGCCTACCGTGCCCCGCCTCTGCTCATACTTTGACAGTTGTAAGGCCTACAGGGGGCTCTGTGCCAGCGAACAACTATAATTAAAACAGCAGCTAACATCTGAGAGGCTATATCACATGTAACTTCCTGGGACTTGGACATTATTTTTCGATCCTTGCAACAACCCTATGAAGTAGGTGCTCTCTCCTTTGTAGCTGGAGAAGTAAAACTGTGTGTAATCCTTGTGCACAGGCCACACAGCCAGCAGGGGGCAGCACTGGCACGCAGGCCCAGCAGGTCACCAGCACTCTGCCTTCTTCCGCCTCCCCGCCGCATCTTCTCCAGCCCATCCTGCTGCAGATGAGGACACAGGTCTTGAACACTCACATACTCTCGAGAGGCCACATAGCAAGAAAACAGCAGAGCCAGGGTCAGAACTGGGTCTCACTCCTGTCCCAGTGCTCCCTTCTTTAATCCTATCATTGTTTCTCCTCAGCCTGTGTGGCAGACTTGGAGAAGCCTGTGAGGCCCACCAGGATGTAAGCTCCATGTCTGTCCTCATCCATCCTGCATGTCCGGTGCCTGAATCAGTTTCTGCACAGGGAATGCAGTTAAATGAAGGAACCAATGAGTCTCTGCCATCATGATGCATCCTCGAATGGGAGAGCCGATGCCACCTGTGGGGCGAGGGATATAAGGTCGGAGATGATGTTTGCGAATGTTCTGGACCTAGGACACAAACTGCCTTCACTCCACAGGCCCTCCCTGCAGAGTGGGCCGCATAAAGGCCAGGGCAGGTCCATGCTTCTCCTGGGTCCGCGCAGGGAGGCTGCCAGAGCCCCTAGCATCACATGCAGATGCCGGCGCTCCCGTTGGGTTGGTTGACCTCAGCACTGAAGAATGCATCCTCTCCGACACGCCTCGGGTCTGGGAGGTTACACAGCAGCCGGCAGGGTTTCAGGAACCAGCACATTCTTTCCAAGAAGAGTCAGCTTTAGTCATTCACGGATGAAGTCGAAATGCATTACCTCCAGCGGCCACAAGATGGAAGAGATCTACTTTTCCAGCGACACAGGGGAGGTTTGTACCAAGCCTATGGGGAGACTCCGGGAAGCTGGGCTGACGTAGTTTACCCAGTTGAGGGTGATAGGGGCCTGCGAACAGTCATTTCCTGAGAAGCAGAGCTGTGCCTGTGTGTAGGGGGAGGGGCATCTGAGCCAGCAGTGCAGATCTCAGAAAATAAGTTTCTCTTCTCCCCAGAATTCCTAAATTTCCTAGGGGGAGAAGGGGCAGGGGGCAGAATTCTGGGCTTGTGCCTTTCTACTTCCAGGCTTTGGTGGCCATGGAAAGAGTTCTAGATTCTGGTCAGAAGTTCATCTAAAGGTGGTGAGGAGGACACTCACGGGTTCTTGGTATCTTTATCTTGGCCTTTCTTCCTTCTTTCTCCTATTTTCCCTTTTAAAAATTTCGTTTTTATTTTTACTAAGGCTTAAGACTTTTTGGTTTGAAAGAAGAACTCAGGGCCAGGAGGGGTAGAAGAAATTTCACATGATGAGAGACCTCCTTTGGCGGAAGGACAATCTGACTATGTGAGGTAGACACAAGGGCCGAGTGTTTTTTTTGTTTGTTTGTTTTTAACGATGAAAACTAGTCCTTTGAGTTCTGAAGTCGGAATTTTGGCCACCTGGTAGATGATTCAGTATTCTGCTATGATCTTTCCTTATTTAGTGTGGATAGCATTTTCTCACTTTCCTTTTTGGATGGATTTTTAAAAAGTTATTTCATATGCAAAATACAGAGTCAATGAGTGATGCTAAAATGATATGTGCTTCCAGAAAGGCAAGACTGTATTCTTAAGCAATATAATCTGGGCAGAGGACTCTGTTACGGGATACTTAGTCACTGGAGAAAGGAGGGATCCAGGGACTCTTAGGACTTGGCTGTATAGGGGAGGGGAGTAAAGTGAGAGAGTAGGACCCATCATGTCCTACTCTCACGCTTTACTGGATTGGCTAGGCCATCTTTCTCCTGATGGTAGGACCCTTCGAGGGTTGTTACAAAGCCAGCTTTGCAGAGGGTTGCCACTGCTGGCAATCAGAGTGACTGCTTGGATTACTTAAGATTGCTAGGTTTAATGAAATCATCGATGCTTTCTGGGGAGAGAACAAAGTGACAAAAGCAAGTTTTCCTTTCTCATTCTCTTGCCTTACATTTCTAAATCTGATTTCATTACATTGAAATGTTGAAATGCATGAAAAGTCTTTGAGAAAGTAACATTAATAAGAATCAATTAATTTGGGATTTATGATAATCCAAGCAGGGGCTGGGTTGCAGTAAACTTTGTATTATTGGAGAAAGAGGTCTTCAAAGCAAATTAATAGCACAAAAAGATCCCAGAGGAAATACTTGTGAGTATAAAACATCTTCCAGCATTTTGAATTGAATTCCAATTCCAATTGAATATCCACAAGCGATTCATTCTTATCTAATCAATAAAAAGACGTCCATTAGGACTCCAACCTGGCAAATCTTGGGTTAGCCCAATCCAAGTGTTACTAACACCCTGGAGAGGTCAAGGTTCATGCCCCCTGCTCCACCTCCAAAAGGCTCTCAGGTGTGGACCAATGACAACACAGGGCTGACAGAGGCCAGGGTGGGACTTTTGGAGGAGCAGCAAAGAGCTTAAAAGCCCCATCTTCATCTCCAACCTCCAAGTGCCTTCTTCCTCTTGGAACTTGTCTCCCAAGGGCCCGGTGTTGCAAGAGGAGTCTGGAACCTTTTCACCTGGGAAAAGTACTGCTGCTCTTAGAGAAAAGCCACTTGGGATGGGGGTAGGCCCCAGGGCAGGAGGCCAAGGAAGCAGACCTTGCCTTTCATCTGGGCCATTGGGAATCCTCAGGGCAGAGATAGTCTAGTCCAAGAGCTTGGGGCCAGGGAACTGGTCCTGAAGTGTCGCTTTGCCTGAACCATCTTTTCCACTCATCAGCCTGAGACCATGAGAGTTGTCTGGCTTCCACAGGGTTAAGAGCATGGAGCTGGAGCTGGTGCCAGCCTGCCTGGTTCAAATCCCCGATGCTGCTGCCTACGAACTTGTCTGTAAACTGGGGTCAACAACAGCAGCTCTACCTCACATGGTTGTCACAAGGATTAAATGTATTAATATTCTTAAAGTGCTTGGATACCACTTGGCATATGTAAGTGCTAAATAAATGTTTGTTTAATAAATAAGCGTTATATATGCTGGAATGTGATCACACTTCAATTTTAAAATTAATCTTTCATGAAGTCTTTTCACAAACTCCAACTGGCCTCATCTCCCTTAAATACAAAACAGTGATGTTTTAAGGCACACTTACGCAAATAAATGCCCCAAATTTTAACACCACGGGCAAAGAGCTTCTATACATGCACCAAGAAATGAAACAAATTCAGAACCTTTCAGGTGCAAGTGAAGACATTATCTGCTCATGTTTTAAAAGTGTAAAATAGAATGTTAATTTTTCAGGATGTTTACATTCTCATTCCCTTATGTCCCCAAAATTCCCTATCATTGTTTAAGGCTTAACCTTTCCTCTACCCTTAATTTCTCCCACAAATTGTCACTGTAGTTCATCTTTAATATGCATTTGGATTCCTCAATTTAAAACTATATTAAGGTAATGGGTTCTAAAGTACAACCAGGCTTATTTTTATCTGCGTGCAAGAAGCTGAAGTACTATGAAAAAAATCAAGAATTGTACTGCTCCACTGTGAGACTGCAGACCAAAATAGACTAGCCCTGGGCTCTTCACCCTGCCACCAACTATAATTAGCTTGTCTACAGCTAGAAGGGGGAAAAAAATTACCACTTAAGGTGCTGATAGAACAACCCATTTTTATCCTTTCAGATCCCCCTTTTGTGGGTAAGCCATCCTGTGTTTTGCCTGCATTTGTTAAATCATACCCACTCTCCCCTCTGATACCCAGCCGGACTATTACCATCATTTTGACAATGCAAACGGAGTTACAAAAGCTCACATTCAGCTATTCCCCTGGGAGTGCTCGCTCTCACAGCCTTTTCCCAGCCCCACCTGTTTAAGTAACGCAATTTGGAACTCGCCACAGGGCATCTTCATGAACAAGGAATGGTGCCCTGCCATATTCCTGCCCCAGGAACTGAGGTAGGCAAGAAGGTGCCAGGGGAACCACCGTGCATTACAAAGAATGAAATCCCAACATACTTTCTTTGCTGTCGATATCCTGATATGTCTAGAAGGGTTTTCCGAGGGAAAGACCGAAAGAGCTTCTGCACCTGCTGTTTCCATGACAACAATCTTTTTTTCTGTGTCTCTGTAAATGCCTGCAAAAACAAACAGGACTTTTAAATGGGTGACACAGCCTGGCATTAGCGGGAGAAACATGCAATTAATAGGGGAAAACATTGGAGTCTCTGCAGTTGCCTTTTCTTCACCTGTTTCTAACCTGGTCCAAACAGTAGTCAGTTTAATTTGGGAGCTGCCTACTTTGAAAATTTAAATTATCTGACATTGGAGGTGCTTGGTAAGGTACATGCATCAAACTGTTGATAACCCTTATTTTTGCTTATATTTCTGGCAGATCCATACCCACACTCCCCCTCCCTCCTGACTCTACTCCGGACTCTATTAACCAAGAATGAATTGCAAAATTGATTGGTGAATACTCTGGGTTTTGCAGGCCCCCCTGCATGTTCATAATCAATGAAAATTCTCAACCACTCCAAAAATCAATCTGCTTGATGGTGTGTGACCACCCTAGAGTGGTCTCCAGGGTGTCAGGGAATGGACTCTATTCTCTGTGTTTCAGGACTTTGTTGAGAAATCTCTAGTTAATGGGTCTCTTGCCTTACAAAAATCCCAGTGTGCCAGTCCTGACTTAAACCTTCTCTAAAGTTTAGGAAAATATGTAGGTCTGATACCTTCAGAACTCTTTTCTAGTAAAACTGGTGTGTGTGTTTTGCCTACTGCCCTGTAACAAACTCTTATCTATGTTATAGTTCCTTTTGCGTTTAGTCTTTGTACTTGCCACAGACTAGGAAAGGACTTTACGTGGGTTAGGGGTCTCCAAGGCAGGAACTCTCAGATTCACGATATATTAGAATTAGCCAAGGGACAGTCAAAATTCAGATACATAGGCTCCCTTCCACAGGCCCAGAGCCTGATTTAGTAGATCTGAAGGGGTGTCTAGAGAGTTTGTGTTTGTAGCAAGTGCCCTGGTAATGCTGCTGCAGGTAAAGCATGAACATGGGGTGTTCTAGGTGGTGAGGACACCACGTCACATATGAATCCCCTGCCAAGTGCCCAGAACTGTAACTTAGAACACGTGCTGTTGGAAATCCATGTGATTTGATTGATTCGCAGTAACAAGGATGGAGAGAAGATTCCGAAGTAGTTTTGTCAATAAGGCATGAATTCCTTTAAGTAGTCATAAAATATTACTCAGTAACAGACTAAATGACTAGTTCCCATAAAGGAAATAGATTCCTTAAATGGAGAAAAAGAAATGACAGCTTAATTGTCCCCCAGTGATGCTTAATCTTTAAGGACCTAAATACCAGGAGAGCTCTGTGGACAAAAGCAGAAGAATGTTAATCATGTGGCAGAAACGTCATTGAGGACTTACAAACCCCTTCTTCCCGGGTGACCTTAGCCAGATGCCACTAAGAATACGCATCAAGGCAGGCTAGGAGGCGAGGGCGTGGCTCTCCTCCACAGTCCTGCCCATTGGTTGGTGATGCTCCCTCTGCGTGTCCTGCTACACATGAGGACCTCTGAAACCGGGCGAAAGGCGAGCGTTTCTGCTGGACTCACACCGAGAGGGGATCATTTCTGCTTTTGACTGGCTTATTCAGCCACATGTTGTGTGAGGATACGTGGGCATGCTGGTCAGGGTGACCTGGGGAGGAGAGTTGTGGGCCAGAGGAAGGCTGTGGATGCAGACGGGCAGGGCTGGAATCCCTGCACGCCTTTATGCACGCCCCTCTACCCAAGACTCAGTGCCTCCTAGAAACTGAGGATAACCTCTCTCTCAAAAGGATGCTGTGAGAATGAAATAACACATGAAAAACACTTAGAATACCTGGAATGTGCCTCACTCTTAATGATTCAATAGATGCCACTCACAGGTGTCACACTGGGGTTTGGTTTTGGACTGCACAGACCGGCCGTTTGGTGGTGGTAGACAGCTGTTCATCACATTAGACATTCAATATGACCTTGCACTCCAACAACAGCACACAGCAAATGACTTCACGGTCTCTAAACTGTGATACTGAGCTGATCTGGAGCCAGCCTGAAGGACAACTGGCCTGAGTTTCCAAGTGACAAAGGAGTAAAGGGCTCATTTCATGGATGCGCTTCCTAAGACACCATTATAGACATGACATCTTCCCTGGTGGGAAACAGCACCCGAGAAGGTGGGAATGTTGGTGCCTCCACGGGGAGGGCAGCTCATTCCCTGAGCACCTCAGTGGGCGGTGGGGTTCCTTTCCTTCAGAGCTGCAGATGGGAGCCAGACCCTTAGCAGTGCTGAATGAGAGTGGGGGCGGTTCTCAGTTGGGGCTGTGGTGCTTGGTCGTGGCTGGCTCCAGGAGTTTCTGAACACTGGTTCCTGACCTACAGAGAAGTGCTCAGTTACAGGCAATCGGCATTGGCTATGATGCCCAATATCTCACTGCAGCCCCAGGCTGGGCTGGGGAGCAGCTTCCTGAGGGGCCTGGAGGGGAAGGGAAGGCTTCATGCCCAACAACTGCCCAGGCACCCCTAGTCGCCACTCCAGAGTTCTGGCCCTCTCAGGCCTAGACCAATGCATCTGTCTGGAGGAAGATGGCTATGGTATCCCAGTGTACGTGGCTGGATGAAAAGGCTCATAAAGAGGCAAGAGCCATTCTTCCCAGAGCCACCTCAAGACACAGTGAAGTGCCCAGAAGCCTGGGATTATCACTCAGGAGTCAAAGTGACTGGTCTCAGAAATGAAATTCAGAACTTCCCTCTCCTTCCTTTCATGACTCTGGGGACTCGGTCCCTCCATCCTGGGGAGGAAGGGAGGTGTCCTGGCCCAGTTAATACCTTCCCTGCTCCAAGTCAGCTAAGGAACAGCATGTCCGGGCTATGAAAGGGCGTCCTGTCTCTCTGCGCCCGGGTGAACCTTCTTCCAGGATGGAGGCTGTGCGCCTCCACGGGGCCTCACAGGCAGGGCGTGTTCTGCCCACACAGAATAACCAGAGGCTATGGAAAATTATTCAGACGCTTTTCCTCTCTCTCAAACTAAAATCATAAAAAGCCCTGAACAACATTTTCCCTTCCAAAGCGGCACGCAGGCCCCTCCATCCTGACTTGAACTTAGCAAGCAGACACCTCACCAGCAGCTTCCCGCCTGGGGCCCCCAGCCGTGAGAGGCCCCTCTGGGCAATCAGAGGAGATCACTTGGGGCTGCGCGGAGGTAAAGGGGAAAAAACAAAACCAGAGCCAGGATACCCAGGGAGGACACGCAGGACGGCGGGAAAGCGAGAAGCGTCAGGCCAAAGTTTCAGGGCTGGCGAGGGACAGTTAGGAAGCCTGTGGATTGTTGGGCACGGGCAGCTGGAGGACTCATTATTTCTGTCTCAGGGGCTCAGCTGTCTTGAGGCAAGGTGGGCAGTACCTTGTCCTCCAATATCAATGCTGAGAGCGGGCGTGGGAGAGGAAGCAGGGTTACGGTTCGCTTTTATCAGAGGCTGAAATCCTCCCCATGCTGTCTGCCCCAACCCACCCACAAATGTCCTACTTCCCAACAAAACACGGAGCCCTGCAGACATCGCTCTCTTCTGCCTCCTTACGAACCGAGTCTCTAGCACCAGGACTCTCGCTTGCCTTCCAGGTTTGAGTGTGGAGAGGATTCCTTCATGGAAATGCCCTGTTCTGGCTCCAGGTTTGGTGCCCACTGCTGCTCCGGTGAACGCAGGGATGACCTTATCAGAGGCCTTCTCATCATGGCTGTGATGGCCTGTTTCTTTCTGTCTCACCCATTCTCTCACTACTGTAATCTGCCTAGTTCGGGACAGGGACTAGGTGCTCAGTAAGTATCTATGGAATGAATGAGTTATAACATTCTTCACTGTGTTCTTGCCTTCTCTTCCTTCGTTGCTTTTTCCTGGCCAAAACAAGTCCAGTGTCAGGACTGGAAATAGAAAAGGATTACTCAAGCTTGTGGGGAGAAGGCCTTGTCCCTGAAACAAAGTCACAGATAAGCCTTCAATACAGGCTTTTGACAGTGCCTGGGTGCTCTAGGGAAACCATTAAAGAGGGAAAAAAACATTTTTATTTTCAGTGAAAAGTCTAGTACTTTGGTATAGTCGAACATTTCAGAGGATGGCATGTCTGAGCCCCCAACCTAGGCGGCTGGTCACCGTCGTCACACTGACAGCTTTGGCCAGAGCCGCTTGGGCACGTAAGAATCCATATGGCCAAGAGGAGAAACTGCAAAAATGAGGGTCTGGGGAAGTGGGGAAGGGGGAGCTGGGATGGAATCCCAGAGGACAACTGTACCTTTGTATGTGAAGTGTGGGTAGCAGATGAGGGCCCTGAGAACTGAGTGAGACCTTCAATAGCCCAGGGCCCATGCGGCAGCTGGGAGGGTGAGAATGTGAGAGGGAAGTGGAGAAGGGGCCTGGCTGCTGTGCTGGGCATCTCCCTTCACCGGAGCCCACTGGACTCCTGGAGTACTGGCTGCCAATGCAGCAAAGGTGAGGAGGCCTGGGGCCTTTATTATCTTTTTTTTCTTTTCCCTCCCAGACAAGTCTCACTCTGTTGCTCTCGCTGGAATGCAGTAATAGGATCACAGCTCACTGTAGCCTTGGCCACCTGGGCTCAAACCATCCATCCTCCCACATTGGCTTCCCGAGTAGCTGGGATTACAGGTGTGCACCACCACACCTGGCTAATTTTTTTTTTTTTTTGCAGTGACAGGGTCTTGATATGTTGTCTAGGCTGGTCTCAAGCTCCTGGCCTCAAGTGATCTTCCCACCTTGGCCTCCCAAAGTGTGGGGATTACGGGCGTGAGCCACCGCCCCAGCTCCTTTACCATCTTATTCTCACATTGAAATCCTACAAAAAGACTTTGCCACCGTAGGTTTATCTGGTCCCAAGTTTTCTCTAGTCTAGGCCTTGCCTCTGTAGCTCTTTGTGGGGAGGGAGGGGTGCCCAAGGAGCCACTGGAATTTTAGGTCTGAGGTGCAACTCCCTCTCCCTACATGCCCCTCAGGGACAGCCACCAGTGCAGATGGCTGCCTAGCCCCGTCATGCCCAAGTGTCTGTCTCACTCTGTATATGAAGACTATGCCTGAGAGTCCAGTAGGCACACCTGCAGCCCGCCTCAGGCCGCCTCCAAAAGGATATATAGCAAATATGATTCCTATAACAATCGCAAGCCCCCCCCCCGCCACACACACACACTCATTATTTCTTTTATGGGCTTTGTCTCTCCCTTCCTCTCTCCAGTTCCCTGAGCTAAAAGCCAAGAGTTCAACACAAGATTTTTAAAAGACTTGAAAACGCCCAGGGCTAAGCAGCAGGGCTCGTGTGTTATCCTGCGAGGCTTGGCCACCCGGGGCTGCTTCCCCAGCCAGAAGTCGTCTCAGCGTTCGCTGCACATCAGAGCACTCGGTCTGGGCAAATCTTTGGACACCAAAGTAATGTTCAAGCTGTGTTTGGGTTTGAGGCTGTCATAGCCTAGTTCTGCCCAACCTATTATTAATAACTGTCCACCACTCAAAAACAAGTTGTTGGAGACTAAAATGATCACATCACAGAAACTCTGAGAACCTTTTCTAAGCAATAAAAACAAAAAATTGGTTTTGTAAAACCTGTCACTACTCACCTCATGAATTAGACACTTGTCTATGAGCTGTAAATAGGAACTTATATTTTCCTCATCGGGTCTGGAGACCAAGAGCTGTGTGCACACTGTAATTAAAAAGAAAAGATGAATTAGAAAAATGCACCCCTTTCTAATCTCTGGGACCTGACTCTCATTTCCCTTCAGGACCAACACTCTGAGAGGTATGTGTGTCTGCAGCTTTATGTAAGGCTCACAAAAAAGGCCAAGAGGCTCCTCATTCCACAGAAGTCAAAGGCTCAGACACCGTGGGAGCCCTTGCCTTGAGAAGCCCCTTGGGTTAATTCCAGTTGTGCCATTCTATGTGAAGCCTTCTGCAATAAGACACTTCGTGAGAGGAAGAACACAGCAGTGAATAGTGGCGTCCTGAACTCCGTCTTTGAAAGTGGCTCTGTGTGAGGGGCTTCAAAAGCATCCAAGATCCTGACACTGTCAGAGAGAGCAGCCTCCGTGATTTTATGAATGAGCGCGCACCCTTCGCCAGGTGCAGAGGCAGTGGCGTTTGTGTTTGGAGGAACGAGCTGACACCTCCTGGAGACGGGGAGGTGTGTGGGTGTGCACATGTGCAGGAGGCCTGCTACTCACTCCTCGGAGGGTTGCTTTCTCAGAGTGATATGCACATTTATGCACACATAGGCGCAGGCTCACCTACACACTCAAGTCAGTGCTAATGAGGATGGAGCAGAGTTAGTCTGCGGGTAGAGTACACACACGCACTGGCTTTCTCACCGCTACGTTACTGTGGCCCATTCTGGTCTCATCATAGAGGTGACGATTCCCCAACTTTCTTAGTCGTGTTTACAGGGCCAGGGTGGAGATGGGTGGACAAAAGGAGTCAACCAGAGAGTAAAAAATGCCTGACACTCAAGAAGACCAAGCTTCAAACCTGGCATCATACTTCATTCCTCCCTGTCCCTAACCCTGCATGGCCGTTCGGTCACACAATCCCATTTATTTCTTGCCTTTGCACGTAGACTTTCAGTATAACAATGTTTGTCATAACAAAACCTTGTAAACCACCTCACTGCCTATTCATTGGGACTTTGTTAAATACATTACGGTTTATGCATACAGAGGAATAGTATGCCACCTTTAAAAAAACTTTGAGATGGTGCTATTTGTATTGATAGAAATATTGTAAGTATATATACTTTTAAAATGTTATTCTTTTTTGTTTGTTTGTTTTTGAGAGACAGGGTCTCACTATGTTGCCCAGGCTGATCTTGAACTCCTGGGCTCAAGTGATTCACTTCAGCCTCCCAAAGTGCTGGGATTACAGGCATGAGCCACCGTGCCCGGCTATCGTATTTTTTAAAAACCCATCAGCCTGTAGAAAAGAATGTAAATAAGGTCTGCGTGTGTATAAAAGTGAATATTCACGTGCTTATGTATGATGATGAAGTTTCTGAAAGGATATCCCAAAACTTAACAGTGACGATCCCTGGGAATGAGGATGGCAGGGTTTGGGGTGGGGGCAGGGTGGTTTCCACTTTCCACCGTTTTGTTCATTGGAATTGTGTACGCTGAGTGTGAATTGGGGTTACCGTTTCCTTTAAAGTAGTTAAAATATAAAGAAGCAGTGCCATAGCAGTGTGGGTCTCTTAAGAAGTTGGGCAATGTACCGCGTGTTCAGTAGCTGCTCCACTTGGGCTTGGCGGAGCTGTGTCTTCACCCATGGGGAAATCTGTTCTAATCCAACACAGCTAAGGGGTGGGTGGGGGAGAGTGAGGGCCCACCCTGGCCATCAAGCTCCAAGGGAAGCTGTGAGTCATCTCTTCCACCAGATTACTATGAATTTAAGTCTTTTTTTAGGACATGCCTTAAGGTGGGTGGTGGAAGGGTGGGAGTTGCTCTTACTGCAAACTGGGTTTTTAAAAATGGTCTGAAATATTGGACAATAACAGAGAAAAAATTGTTTTCCCCTTCCAAAGGAAAAGTGCTGGCATTACCACATGTTAGAAAATAATCAAGATGTCTTGTAAGACACCAGATCAAGCATAAATTATTCTAATGGTGGATATTTTCGAGGATATGGAAATAAGGGTCTGCCCCAGAAAAGGCAGAGGGTAGCCCAGGTAGAAAGGGGCACTCTTACCCAAAGGACCACGCTGTGGATTCTACCCTCCCCGACAGGCGTGAACCCAGCATGTATGCTTGGATGGTCTGTGGGAAGGCCTAACTTTAGATACTGGTGTCATCGCTCAAGTTTTGCACCACCTACTTATGAGGCATCTACTGTAAGCACTGTGCTACAAGCAGGGTATTGAGTAACTATTAAAAGTGGTCTGACTATGCTGCAGACTAATGAAGATACAGTCAAGCAAACAGGCAATTACAGTCTAATGTGAACTGGGCTAAGACAAGGAAAGTAAAGGGGGATGTGGGGCAAGTGAGAGGGGGTACCTCACCCAGCCCAGTGGATCAGCAGGCTTCCTGGAGCATGTAAGGACTTGGCTAAGACCTGGAGGAGGAGGCTTGACCCAGGTGAAGGGAATGGGGTGAGGAAAAGAGTGTTATAGGCAAGGCTGTCCCATGTGGATGTGCAGGCTGTGCACTACACAAGTGCATGCCAAGGTGAGTGCTAGCAGTGCCGTGTCCACCCAGACAGGGCACCATCTTGTAATTCACATGAAGGATGAAGGCTTTGTATAAACTAGTAGGAACCTAGGTTCTAGGCAGAGGGGAGATATGTACAAAGGCTCAGAAGCCAAGAAAATATGCAAACTTTTGAGAACTCAAAGATATAAAGTCTGAAAGATATAAAGTCTATATCTTTGAGAACTCAAAGACATAGAACTCAAAGATATAAAGAGTATAGAATGGAAGTGGTAAGGGCTGTGGAGGTAACAAGGAGACACCAGATGACATGTGACTCTTTAGGTTTGGATTTTGTCACCTAAGAGCAGAGAGAACCATCACTGATGGTTTCAATGAAACTCTACCTTGTTCTATCTTGAGCTGATAAGAAGGCACAGTGGTAACTATGTGCATGATGGAGAGACTGCAGGGTTCAAATTCCAGCCCTGCCATCAGCTGTGTAAGCTCAGATGGGCTAATTAGCCTGTGTGCCTCAGTTTCCTCCTCTGTAAAATGGGATAACTTGGGGATTAAGTAAGCTCTATAGGTAAAGCATGTGTCTGCTACAGAGGAAAAGTTAAATAAATGCAAGCTATTCATACTAGAGCATTTCGCACGGCAGGCCAGCCGTGAAGAGAGAATATAAACACAGACACGGGAGAATGAGAACAAAACAGTTTCATGCTGGGAATTCTCCAAACCCTGGCCACATCTGAGAACACTCTCAGTGGTGAGGAGAGGCCACTGCTAAGGCTGGCATCTTTCTGCACAGGGAGATCTTTGGGCTCTGGCTAAAGGCGTCTGTGCCCCTTCAGTTTGTCACTCATTTTCTGCCACTTTTGCTTGGGGGAGAGGGTGAGATGCTGAGTGAATGGTTCGTTCCCGAAATCATCTTTTTCGGAGTCCTTCCCACTTTCCTCCCGCAAGGGTCCACTGGCCCAATGAGCACTGTCATAAAAGGGCTGGCATCCCCTGGTCTGAGGGATTTGGGAGAGAAAGGAGCCGGGATTAAGGAGTAGGTGTCCGGGGGTCACAAAAGGCTTAACCTCTCTGAGCTGCACGTTCCCTATCTGTAAGATGGAGCTAATGATGTCTACTTGGACAGGGAATTTATCCAGCACCCAGGGGAAGCCCCCAGGAGCCTATCGCTCTGGTTAGTGGGATCCGAGAAGAAAAAAGAAATGGGCACATCGGGCTCTACCTTTCCCCATGACGCGTGTGAACTGCCCGGGGAGGTCCCCCTCCGGCAGGGGGGCGACGGCCAGCTCCCCATCGCAGCTGCTCAGCTGGTGCGGCTGGAGCCCCCCACTGGCCCCGGCCGAGGGGGTGGCCGTGGCGCCAGTGGCTGTGGCCCCATCTTTGCAGTCGGGGCTCTGGCTCTCGGGGCCCATCAGTGAGGGCTGGCGCGGGGCCTGGGGCTCCCGGGGGCGAGCCTCGGGCGTGGTGCTGGGGGAGCCGTAGGCCTTGATGGGAGTCAGGATCATCTGGTGTAGTTCCTGGAGCGGGACGCGCAGGCTGCCCCCCTCGATGATGTCCTGGACGAGGAGAGCAGGAAGACCTCCGTTAGGCTCAGGAATAAGGGTCGTCCACCCCTGTACCTGTCCTCCCCTGCCCTGAGCTCGGGATTCGTGGCTGCTGGTACCCTCATCAGGATGTTTTTGGGAAAAGGGACCACTTTCGTTTCATCATTCTAATATTGGCCCAGGTAGAAAATTGGAAAATACAGACAGGTGTAGTGAGGAAAATACACACCATCAGAAAATCCCACTATCTAGAGATGACCACTAAAACAGTTTGGTGCATTTCCTTTTCTGCCTCCCTCGGTGCATTTCTGTAAAATGTGGTTATACATTTTATAGTCACACGCTTTGGAAGCTGTACAACAAAGTTGGGTGACATGATGGCTTTGTGTCCTGTGTATGCTTTGTTCTGGATGAAATAGCCCGTTCACACCTTCACTCAGTCCATGGCACAAGCAGCACAGGGTAGCGATTAAGAGCAGAGACTCTGGGTCAGAGGCTAGGGTTTGGATTCTTGCACTCCCATGTGACCCTGGGCAAATGGCTTAACCACTTTGTGCCTCAGTTTCCCTGTGTACAAAATGAGCATATCGTAGCTGCCTCCTTGTCTTTAGGGTTCCCCAGGGAGTTGACATCCAGCCACGAGATAACTATACCACGCCAGGGGCTGTGGTATGGGCCGGGGCTGCTGTGAGGGGAAGCTCCTGGAGAGGGTGACACTGGTGCAAGGACCCAAATGAGCATGGGCATGAGGATCCTGGGGAGAAACGCTCCAGGTGGAGGGCACAGCAAGGGCAAAGGCTCTGAGCGGGGAGTGTGAGGAACAGCAAGGGCGCCTGCGATGGAGCAGGTGGGCCATGGTGTCCCGTCAGCCACCTAGGCCTGAGCCTGGAGGCCTTGGGCCGGGGCAGGGATGCTGGAATCTAGTCTAAGATGGGAAACCAGGGAAGGTTTCGAGCAAGGGAGTGCCAAGTTTTACAAGAATCATTCTGGAGAGGAATATGTATAGAACTGTAATATAATATATACATGTCTTTATGCGTTGTGTAATAACATTGGATCATTCTGCACATATAGTTTGATATACTGGGCACTACTTATTAAAAACAGAAATAAAAGTTGATTCTGATAGGTATTTCTCTCTGTGCCAGATGCTCACAGAGGCCCAAACACTGTGGCTTGGAGCGTGGCTGGGGCTCGGAAGCCTGGGACCCTGCCTGGCATGGTGGCTGGGGTGGACCCTCTGCAACAAAGCTGCTCCCCCTGTGTTTGTGCACATCAAGGTCTTCCTAGGACCTGGAAAGGACATTGACAATCAGGGCCCCGATTATTTATGAAGTATTTAATTTTTCTTTTTTTTTTTTTTCTTTTTGAGACAGAGTCTTACTCTGTTGCCCAGGCTGGAGTGCAGTGGCATGATCTCGGCTCACTGCAACCTCTGCCTCCTAGGTTGAAGTGATTCGCCTGCCTCAGCCTCCTGAATAGCTGCAATTATGGGCACGTGCCACCATGCCTAACTCATTTTTGTATTTTTAGCAGAGACGGGGTTTTACCATGTTGGTCAGGCTGGTCTTGAGCTTCTGACCCCAGGTGATCCACCTGCCTCAGCTTCCCAAAGTGCTGGGAATACAGGCGTGAGCCATCGCACCCGGCCCAAAGTATTTAATTTTCTGAGAGCTCAGAATAGCAAGGACATTTAAAAAAGCCTGATGCATGAGTATCCAATCCATTCCTGGGGTCCTCTCTTACACTTGCTCGATGGTGTCAGGGAATGCAAACATATGAAATGTGATAATTTCTGCACCCAAACATTTCCAATCAATCCATCAGAAAAAGGAAAGCTGAGGACGGCAGCCTTGAATGTGCCTGTTTCAACTGTGGGCAGTGAAGAACACCAACAGCCACACCCTGTCGTTGGCAGGAACCTGCTTTGTTTGGCGGGGAGGGGTGGGAAGTGGAGCCTGGATTATGCCTTAGCCTAGTTGGCACGAAGGGTTTATGAAGGAAGTGAAATTTTAATTAGCCACCAGAATTGTCTCTCAAACCTGGCCAGGGCCACTGTTCAGCCTATTTTAGGGGAGAAAGTCCCTTTTTCTCTTTGGAGAGTTTCGCGTCTGCCACCTTCCTTCTACACATGACAGATGTCTCTGCAGCAGTCAGGCATGCTCCTGATCACTTCTTCCCTGCTGCCCACAGTAGACCCAGCCCTTTCCCAGCATCTAGACACCATCATGTGATCGGCTTCCTTGACTTGACCTGGTGATGTGACCAGGGCAGGCATAGGGAGGTGAGCTAGCTGACCCACGCCAGGAGAGCACCTACCAGCTTTTCTGATCAGACTGCATGCTAACTAGGGGACCCCTGGATCCTACCTTGAGATCCTGCCAGCGGCCCAACCAGCCCCTGGGTTGTGGGGGACACTGACCTCCTTGTCCAGCCCCTGACTAAGGAGGGGAAGGGAAAAGAGGGATGAAGCTTTCCTATGAAGAGGGGCTAGGAAAGCCATGCTGGGGTGATCACATGGATCCCTGCCGTGCCATCCCATGCAGCTGCTGTCAATGGGATGAGCAAATGCATGCTTGGGACACTCTGTCAACTGCACCAAATCCCTGCCTGCTCTTGTCACATGGCAAGAAGGTTTCTCCAGCTAGTGGTGAGAGGAGATTTTGGATATGTGAAGAGACTTCAAACAGGAAACATATGCATGCTCCATTCAAATCTTATCTGATTCTTCTATTGGAGGCAACCACACCAAAAATCAATCAATCAATAAATGAAAACAAAAATCAAAAAAGAAACCAAAGACATAATGAATAATGTTGGATACTTTCTATAAAATATAACTTCCCAGGAATCATGTAGAATTTTGTTTTTCCCTCATAGACATCAAGCCATTGTCTCAAAGATAACACTTGGCTTACAACCAGTTAGCTCATCCCCTGATCAAGCTGGCATCAGTAGCATGGCACTGTGACTCAGGTCATGTTCCTGACACTTAAAAATGAATTCCTGAACTCAAAAGAGAGTGCCCAAATTGAGAAGGAACAGGGAAATGGCCAGAATGGAAATCAATCTAGCACCTTTGACTAACTGTGAGAATTAATTCTCCATGCTGACAAAAAAAATGGGGAATCCACCCAAGTCTTTACTGATCTTTCATACAGAAAATATAATCCCACATGATAAACACAAAGAGGCATAGTGAAGCTGTTCATTAACTAACGTGCTGTTACAAAGCTGAGGAGCTCCTTTGAGATCAGAGAGCGGGAAGTCTGGTCCACCACTGACCACAGCCATCACTCAGGAGACAAGCAGGAAGGAAATTACTTCCTGACTTATACCAGCCCTGGTGTGGCTAACTTGGGTCTCGGAGGAAGGTTGGTTCAGTGCCTTTTCCTGGGCATATGACAACAACAAGCTGCAAACCATCTGGAAAAGAGAGTCTTGAGCAGCCGAAGTGTCCCCAGCACTCATGTGGTGTCTCTAACTCCATCCTTCCCTTTGTGTAAGAAGAATTGGGATTCTCACATAATAGACAGGACTCCTGTATCTAGCGCATTTGTTCTTTCCTCCTCTCATGCACCTATCAGCTGCTGAGCCCTGTCATCAACCAGGCACTGTTATACACTGGGGATATGAAAGCAAATTAAGTCATAATCTTGGCTCTAAGGTGCTTACAGTTTCTGGGACCCACATGGTATGATGGGCATCAGGGCAGGGAGCTGTGGGAACATATAAGAGGGACCCCTGACCACCACTGTATGTTTCAGGAAAGGAGAAACAGCAGGAAAGGAACAAAGGATGAAAGGACGCTGTACATGGCCGAGCAGGGCTCATTGAGATGAAGCTCAAGAGCTTTTCCAAGTCCTTAGGAACCAACTTGCTAAGGAGTTTGGACTCACTCGAGTTTCTTTTTCTTAAAATCAGGATACCAGCAGCTCTCCTGATTACCTTAGGAAGTTTGCTGTATGGGCCAAATCCACCGATAGGGGTGAAACATTTTTAAAAAGTATACAATGTACCTTACTAGTATAAGGCATTATTACCTCGGAAATATTTAGCATTTAATATTAAGCTTCTCTGCTGCTTCTCTGCAGCACTTGATGGAATCGGGGGTCTCAGATCTGAACCCAAGAGGACAAGATCTGGATGTGTCTGAAGAAAAGGCACAGGCTTACAGAGAAGCATTTTCTCCTCCTGTAAGCAGCAATACATGGAAGTGAGGTGAATGCGTGAGTGTGTGTGTGTATTTCCTTCCTCCATGCCAGGGACCCAGGCTCGGAACATGGCTTAGCTTCACAGTTTGAGAGTGAATTGAAAAGGCAGGATGGTGAATAAAACCACGTGGAAACATTTTCATTACTCAAGATAAATGTTGAAAAATCTGCTCCAGTGACCTTTCTAATTTCCCTTTTCCACCATATACCTTGAGAAGTCTACAATTCTGTACCCCATGGCCCCTCACCCGTTCACACCAACTGGTTCACAGGCTTCTGCTTCTGTTTCCTCCCATTCCCCTGAAACCCGTAACATCATGGCACAGTGACCTGCTGAGGGCCAGTTTCAGAGGACAGTGTTTCGTCTCCATTGTCCGTGACACTTCCATGGCACCTGGCGGGATTCCTTCCTTCAAACCCTCCCGACCCTCTGGGCGAGCACAGCCCGTATTATTGCTCAGCCCCTCCATATCTTACAGTGCTCCTAAGGGCCTGTCCATGCTCTTGACACACACTTCCCGGGAGCACCTATTATCAGTTACACTCAGACGACGCACAATCGGTCCTTTCAAACCTTGTGGGCCTCCTGGACTGTAGGCCTGCTCTCTGGCCACTGACTTGCCACTTCTACTTGGGTGTCTCACAGGCACCTCACACTCAACCCTTCCCATGGACCTCCATTTCCTGCCCCTACTTCTCCTATCTTTTCTGTCCCCAAATGCTGTGACACTCAAACCCAAGCCTCGTCACAATCACTGGACTCCTCTAAATGATCTCTATCCTCCTCCTCCATCCTCACTGCCTCTATTGTGGTTCAAGGTCCCATCAAGACTTGCTATAGTTTCCTAATGAGTTTCCCGGCCAGCGTCCTGCTCTTCTGAAGGCTTCCCACCTCATCACTGCACAGCGGTCTATTTCACCTCAGGAAGCTTCCCCACCTGCTATGGTGATGACGTCGATCAGACTGGGTTATGAGATAATATGGTGCCATATCTAACTGTCCCAATGCACGTCCCCAGCTCCCCATGGCAGGAGCCATGTATGACTCACGGTTAACCTCCAGTGGATGGGGCAAATTGTGTCCCAGGCAGCTGCTTGATAAGGGTTCAGTAACTGAACAAAAAAGCTCTGCACACAGAGCTCAGGCAGCCACCACTGATTATGAACTAACTATGGGCGGGGCCCCAGCTATCTCCTTAGAAATCTATGTGAGGTAAGAATATGGGAGGCAGACAGGGGCAAATGACTCTTTTCCCAACAGCATCATCAGCCCAGCGGTGTCTGGGAATGCCTGGGAAATGGCTGATTTGAGTCTGCCACTGGTGCCATCAGTGGTAACAGGTTACAAACAACTCACTCCCTTGCAAAGCAGGAGTTAGGGGTTCCAGAGAAGAGAGGAGGGCCAGGGGATGAGTCCTCAGTGGATGCCTGAGAGAGATTCCCTCCCACCCCAGCTCATCAGCTTAGGCAGGGACAACACACCGGATGTCCAAACATTCGGGTATTCTGACTCAGGCTCAACCCAGTCATCTGACACACATCAGCTCTCCTCTCTCAAAGAAGTCAGACTCGATAAACTCCATTTCTTTCCACTGGCTGCCATCACACTCTGCTCTGTAGGTGGCACCTTTTAACTTTCCCATTCCAGCGAACAGGGGAGTCACTATTATTCTAGGTGCAAAATCTGGGACACAGAAAACATCACTGACTTATCAAAGGCTAGATGGAAAGTCAATGGCATGTCGGGGTCACCCTTGCTACTGGGCTGCCAGAGTGTTCCCCGTGCTGACTTCTGCCAGGCTGCAGGGAATAAAGCTAACAGGAATTTGTCTCCCAGGTGGGTGCGCTTCCCCAGTGATGGAGCATATGAATGAATCCTCAAGGCTGCTCCAGAAAGAAGGGAAAAAATCACTCTTTTACCATAACACTTAGCAATCAAATCCTTATGCAAAATGTTTTCTGCACTTTCTAACAAAGGAAGAGTAAATTGGCCTTTTGAATGTTCCCCCGAAGAGAATGGTTTCTCAATTTAAAAATGGCAATAGTCACTTAGACAAACTGCTTTCTAAAGTAGTATACAATTAAAAACAACAACAAATAAACCTCAGGTTCTATTGGATATCTCACTTGTAATCTGTAATTCACTTTAAGTAAGAAGAGGTCTTTAATCACGGATGTGCACGTGAGAAGCCTCTGTCTGTCTATCTGGCCAGAGGTTTAAAAAGAAACGTTCCTTACGAAGTTATATATGTATACTCTATATATATATATATAACATATATGCATTGAATATAACTTTATATAGTCTATATGAAATTATACACACACATCTTTGTGCTGAAAAATTACCACTCCATTAAATGTTTATGTGCTCACAAAATTTGCTTTATCCCTACCTCCCTCAATACTCTGTCCCCTTCCAAAATCCAAAAGCTCCCTAGAATTACTAGAAGAGGTTACCTCTAAAGCTCTGCAGGCTGCAAATAGCCACAGAACTTCCCACCCACCACTCCTGCCTCCCAGTACTCATGCATAAGAATGCCAGCCCTGAGGCAGAGGCAATGCTGGTTCACTTGTGTGAGGCATGGGGCCTGCCCTCCTTGGGATCTTAGATGAAATCATGTCGTCATTAAGTCCTAAAAATGACATTGTTACCAGGGCAGCATCCAGACACAAAGGTAAGAAGAGGACCTGTGTAGGCAGCAAACAAAATGGGACAGTAGGCAGCTGATCACTGCTTTTAACGTTGGAATAAACTTTTTTCAGCATTTAGCATTTTTGAGATGGTTCCTATCAGAGTCACAGGGACCAACTCTGTTGTTAAGTTAAAGCCTGAAATGATTCTCTTGAGAGCCAACTATGTCTGCCTGCCAAAATGCTTCTGACCGCCTCTATCTGCAGCGTACCTGTTAGTATCACCACTCGGGGGCAGCTTTTCTCAAAACAGACCCTCCCCTGGGAGGACAGTGAGACCAAAGCACACTGCGCATGCCCTGCCCTGTTTTGCCAAGATTTCAGCGTCTGATTGTGAACTGGTCACCTCACTGATCTCTACAAATGTATATGAGGCAGAGACACAAATGCATATAAAAAGGGTGCATTTGAAAGCACTTCATCAGGGCTCTGGGACAGCTGGGCAAGGCAGCCTGGGCCCAGGGAATAATCGCACTGAGGCATCGGCTTCCAAAGAAGCACGTGCAACCGGGAGGTTTCACTTCAAAATCATTCTGTTTTCTCTGACTTTGGGAAGGAAACCGCATGATATGCTCTAGCAGGTCTGTCGATGACACTTCCAATGGAGAATCTTCCTTAGTCTACTTTCCCATAACAAAAGTGGAAATGTTCCCTCATCCAATAACTTACCCTTTCCAAAGACTTCAGGAGATTTTGTCTTTCTTTGAGCTTCTGAATACTGATGACAATTTTGTGTCTTGCACCTTTGGTAACATTCTGTAATTAAACAACAAGTTACATTTAAATGTATATTTAAAAACATAGTTTTAAGAATCAGCTTACAGGTTCTTGGAGGCTTTTACTGTCTTCTTTGTTCCTCTATTTTCACGGGCTCATCAATATCCACTTACCTCTTGCATTAGTACCCATCGTCATAAACCTCTTCTTACTAAATATTACTATTATTTGTTGAGACAGAGTCTCACTCTAGTTGCTCAGGCTAGAGTGCAGTGGCGCCACTTAGCTCATCGCAACCTTCACCTCCTGGGCTCAGGTGATTCTCTAACCTCAGTCTCCCAAGTAGCTGGGACTACAGGCCGCCACACCTGGCTAATTTTTGTATTTTTTGTAGAGAGGGGGTTTCGCCATGTTGCCCAGGCTGGTCTCAAACTCCTGGACTCAAGCGATCTTCCCACCTCAGCCTCCCAAAGTGCTAGAATTATAGGTGTGAGCCACTGTGCCTGGCCATCTTCTTAATTCTAAATCCATCTGGCTACACATTTGCCTGCGTCTTTTGACCACACTTTTTATCTGTATTTGTATCTTTCTGTATCTTAGAGAGAGATGCGGAACGGCCAATTATTCTACTCAGCATGAAATTTCTTCACAGTCTTAGAAGATAATTTTTAAGTCATGCACTCTTCCTTTTCTCCAGGCTTTATAATTTCAGTCCCCCTCAGTTTCCCTGAAGGTCCCAACCCCATACAGACATTCATGGCTTTCTCAAACCCTCCCTGTGTTTTTACCCATCTTGAAAAGATGAGCAGCCCAGTAGAGTCCACATGGAGTGTCATAAAACACGGGGAATTTCTGCTAGGTTGCAGCCTGTCTTTTGTTACTCTAAGGAAAACTAGAATAGAAAATTACTTAAATTCATAATTCAGTCATCTCTTCCGGTAAATGATTAGGATTCACAGTAAGAGTTGTGGATTTTATCTTCTTAACTGGGTAGCAGTGGTGAGCCTAAGGATTTAAACAGTTGTTGATAATAGATACTGCAAATTTCCTGATAGACAGCCCTTTCTCAAATAAGGTCTCTAACTCAAATGTCTAGCAACTATTCCATAGAATTCTTCTTAAAGAAGGAAAAGATAGGAATATCAACAACATCTTTACTAGAAAAATAAAGACTCAAATGACAAGTGAACCCAGTCTCTAAGATGAAACACTAGGGGTATATTTCTGTTTACCCTTAACTTTGGGTTCTAGTGAATTAAATTACTCTGAAAAGTTTGTGCTGGCCTCTGGCTTTGCCCTCAATTATTTCTTGTTTTTTTCCTCAAGTTGAACAACTGATGACTTAGATTTTTTTCAACTCTGACCCAAACACAAAAATGCTCTTAGAAACAGTTCTCATCAATCCCTGGGATTTCAAGGAGCAATCAAGATTCAAAAAGAGGTGGGAGAAATGTTAGGAAGTTGAAATGAGTGCCTTTCATTCTCTGAGAATGTGCAGTGACTTTGGGCTTTGTGTTGTGTCTCCATATTGGGAGTCCGCCAGGCCTGCAGGGTTAAATGAGGGTACCGAATAAGCACTGGGGAACCGGTGATCTGCGGGGAGGTGTGCATCCAGACCAGCCATGCCCAAATGGTACAATCTCCTCTTCCTGCAAAGGAAATATTTTTAGCCTATTCAGACCATCGATTCTTTTAAATCATTGCTGAAAGGAAACTGAGGCCAATGTGAAACATGCAAATAGCATTTTAAACAAGGGAAACAAAGACATTGGTCAGATCCATTCACCTGAGCACAGCCTAGCAGGAAACATGCTTAGTTTCAGGGGTTCTGTTGACTGGCCTGTGGCATCCACATTGGGGAAAGATGCCTTAGGGGAAATGAAATTTGAGACCTATGGAAATCTCATTCTCAATGATTGTCTCAGGTTAGAAGAAAAAAAGTTTGCATAATTTTCTCCAATCTCAACAAAGACTGGCATGGACATAGCTTTTTTTTTTTTTTTTTGAGACAGAGTCTTGCTCTGTCACCCAGGCTGGAGTGCAGTGGCCGGATCTCGGCTCACTGCAAGCTCCGCCTCCCGGGTTCACGCCATTCTCCTGCCTCAGCCTCCCGAGTAGCTGGGACTACAGGCACCCGCCACCTCGCCCGGCTAGTTTTTTGTATTTTTTAGTAGAGACGGGGTTTCACCGTGTTCGCCAGGATGGTCTTGATCTCCTGACCTCGTGATCCACCCGTCTCAGCCTCCCAAAGTGCTGGGATTACAGGCTTGAGCTACCGCGCCCGGCCTGGACATAGCTTTTTAATAATGTTGGGGTGGGTCTGAGGCATGACCTGGTGCTTCTACTCAGCAGTCCAGTTAGAAGCTGGCTGATTTGTAACTGGACTAGACAACAGACAATGGATCTGTCACTTCCCAAACAAGCCAAGCCCTGCTCGGGCAGAGGGAGGGAGAGAGTGAGAAAAGCAAAGGCAGGGATGTAGATTCTTTGTGGCATGGTCAAATGTTACTTCTCCTAGGAAATTCCACCGATTCCTCCCTAGCACCTGGAACTTTCGAGTGTGCCGAGATTATGCCTTTTCACACCCCTTGATCTCACCCTCACGACCCTGGGGTTATCTGCTTGTCTTCCATCTCCTATTGGACTCTGAAGGCAAGAATCCACTCAGTTTTGCTCACCATGGAATCCTGGCCAGCACCCCACAGTTCCCATGACTGGGCGGGTTACTGTGTGGGCATAGGTATGGGTCCAGACAAGGTTGTCCAGGCCTTGAACTTCAGGTCCCGCCTGGGGCACCCTCTCAGGGAACGGTCACTTCAAGCACATACCTGCGCCTCCAGCTGGCACTCGGTGAGGGCCATCATCTCCTCATAGGTCATCTGGGAGAAAAGCGCAGCATATTTGTGCAGGCGGAGGCTTTTTAGCCAGGCTGGAACATCTGTGGTGCAAGATGTGCAAGAGATGGGGGGAGAAATGAGAGGGAATGAGAAGAGATGACAAGAGATGTAGGAACAGAGAAAGGAAAAGAGGGTGATGGTCAGAGGAAAAAAAGGAAAAAAAAAATCTTTATGTTACTACGTATTTAATTTTAGCTAAGATGCAGAAGTCTCAGGCCAGCCCTGACATTCCTACTGGTGGGCTCCTTTACTCTACTTAGACCAGGAGAACTAACTTGGGGTCCATGAGATTCAGGACATTCACAAATCCCCTACAATTATATCCCAATTTGTGAGTAGATGGGAAGTTTTCTGGGCAGAGGGCCATCCATAGCTTCTATAAGATTCCCAAAGGGGTTCATGAGCAAAAAGATGGCAGGGAACAACTGCATTAGCTGGACCGCTTCATCATTGAGTTGGAAAGAGCTGGCTTCGAATGTTAGAGCTACATGAGCAGACTACGACCTCAATATAATTTTTGTATATTCAATGTAGATTTTCACACACTGTTTCAGCCACTCCCACAGTGATAGAAAAATGGTGGAGTCACCCATTCCTAGCCTGATCTTTCCCCAAGAAAAATGCCTCCCTATATATACCTGAATGGGAAAAAGGGCATCCTGATTCCCAAAACTGTTTCTGTTGTGGGGGTGTGTCCACTGACCATTTCTCCAAGCCATGAAATGTATCCAGATGTATCTTTGACTTTTTACTTGATTGTCATCCAAAAATATATCAGGACTTGAAAGGCCCAAAGATTGGCTAGGCCATAGGATAATGGAAGTTCTAAAGTGCATCTGAAATAACCTCCAAGTCTGAGATTCCAAAGTTAAGAAAAGTAAATGGTAACTGTATTGAAAATCCACAGGAGAACTATTACCTTGTTAAATAAAACCAAAACAAAGTATTTGCCCATATTCTTTTAGTCAGAGTTTTTGAGCTGATAGGATCTTTGGAAAGTTTCCAGAATCATCTTCCCTCATCCCTGGATCATTCTAAAGATGGCGAAAAGAAGTCATGAATCCTAGATCAGAGAGCAAGTGTATGGTGAAATGGGAACCAGAACCCAGATCTCCTGATTCCTAGCTCTTTCCTACAATGTACCAATTCTTACAAAATAAGGACCAAACAGCCTATCAGTGGCTGAAAAACAGTGACAGTAAAGTACTCTGAAATGCTAAAGCATTGGGTAAATGTTATTCTTGTTTTTCATGAAGTATTATCCATCACCAACCATGTTGACTGCAGGATTCTATCAATTGCTAAATGCTTTATTCTGAGGCACTGACCACACATATTCCAAAACAAGCGAGAACCTTCCAATTTTTCAGCGTTTAGAGTAGATAAATGTTGAGGTTGATGAAAGAGGCCTGGACTATTCTGAAATCAGGTCCTGCTTCCTGAGTGAAACACCTCTAGGTTTAGGGAATGCGGGTGTGGGATAATCTCCTGAACTCAAAAGACTTAGGTGGGGATGATGGGCCTGGTGAGATTACTTGTTGATTTGCAGTAAGGAAAAGGTCAATGAAGGGGAATTTCTGGAGAATTGAAATTGGACAGTCAATGGCATCTTAAGAACAGACTCAGTTATCTCAGGCTAGAAATCACTCCATTCTGTGCTTGAAAGCCCTTCACTCTACTATGACAATCAAGAGTCCCTCTGTTACCATTAATAACCACAAACAGACAAGGCTTCCCCAACACATCATACTAACCCCTTACGTCATCCTCAACTCAAATTGCAGTTGGATCAAGAGTCTGGGACATGGCAGCTAAGGAGTCTGGAACCTTCCATCCTGCAATATCCTGGAGCTATTTTACCAGACTTCATTTTCCACCATGCTTTTATTTCTGCTGAAATAACGCTAATGCTTCTCCAGAGTGAGCGGCACTGATTTTAATTACGGCTTTGGCTTTCAGGCCAACAGCATGTTACCACTCTGTCACCAGGTTTCACGTTTGCTATTTACATCCTGAAAGTCCCAAGTCACTACTCAGAAAACTCAATGATCATGATTCAGAGAAGCCTGGGTAACCCAGTGCTGCTCTTGGGCACAATTCATCACAAAAGAGAAGGGAGCAGTCTCTTGGAGCAAATTTTCACTGGGTGCCCTACAGCTGAACCGTGCAAAATCCACTGATGATGAACAGAATCCTGAGCTATTGAATCGTGTTGTAAACATGGTGCTTTATAAGCCAAGGTGATAATGTGGTGTTTTAAGAGTCAGAAATTGTGGGGTGGGGTGCAAATCCCAGCTCAATCAGTACTAGCTCCTTTTCTATAAAACTATTTTGACAAGTTAGAATTGCCCTGGTTACAGGAGTGGAAAAGCCGGCCTCACTCATTTAGTCAAAATGGGGGTCCATTGGGAGTAGGTTTCCTAAAAAAGGCTCCTATCCAACTTCAAAACGTGATGAGTTAGGCCTTCCTGAAGAGTTACTTCTAGATGCATTCCTGGGCAACGTAAGCACCTTTTGGCCCTGTGTTTCTTGAGGCAGGTACACGTGGACACTGTTTTTAGAGCAAGCATTGTCCTGTCTCAGTGCCATGTGCTCAAAGAGCACTGCCTCCTGTAAGGAGAACAGATAAACAAAGAAGAGGAAATCCCAGTTCTTAAGAACATAGCCTACTAACCTTTCACCCTCTGGATTGTGGTGAGGCACCTTTCCTTGCCAAGGATTAGAACAAAACTGTTAAAAGAGAAACAAACCAGAGAAGCAAGAGCCTTGACCATTTCATTCCCCTGAAGTCAGGAATTCTAATGACTTGGATGCTGGGTTCTGTAAGCTGTTGGCCAGGGATAGACTCAAACTAAAAGCTCAAGTCCTTTCCCGTGGTCCAGATGCCACATTGTTGGATGCAATGCTAAGAACCACCTACTGTAACTTCCCATCTACCTTTTACATTCTGTGAAGCTGTAGGCTGTGGCTATGGTTGGAAAATACAGACAAACAGGGAGAAGCAGAGCTGTGTCCTGCAGAAGCTGATATGTGATTGAAGGCATGCATGCCTCTGGCTGGCACACAGCTCTTTAGCTTTCTTGGATGCTCCTGATGGACATGCCACTGGGGGTCTCAAACTAGAAAGTCATTCTCTTATGCAGTGTGAGAAAGATAAAGATGCTTTTGCTATATGCTGGGCTGACTTCTTTGCCAAGTGTGGGAATCCTGATATTTGCTCATTCAACATTTATTGAATGCCTATTATTCAATATTGAATACTGAACAATATTCAATATTCAATATTCAACAATATTGAATGCTTGGGGTCCAAGCTCTGTGAAGACGTGACCCTTCCATTAAGGAACTTCTAATCTAGAGAGAATGGCTGACTTACACCAAAATTATAATAGCAATAGGACAAGCGCTGAGTATACACAGTGTTCTAGGGGAGCACAGAACGATGAGCCTTTTGGTTTGCCATAGGGAGTGAGGGGCAGCTTCAAAGTACAATAACTTGGAGTCTCCACTAGGATGGCCACAGTGAGGAAGCCATTTCAGGAAGCAGGAAGGAAACACAGAGTCAAGAGGGCAGAGCAGGGTAGAGCAGACACATGGGTGGATGGCGGGAATGGCTAGAGACAAGGTGGGTCAAATAGGCAGGGGGTCAAATGGCTGAGATATGCAATACTGAACAAAGAGAGTAGACTTCATCTTGTGGGTGGCGAGAAACTGCTGAAACCTGAGTAGCAGAACACAATCAGATGAGTGTGCTAGAAAGGCAATGGCTGTCAACGTAAAGGCTGGCCTGGCGGATGGTGACGGTGGAGGCCAGGACATGAACTTAGGAAGATCCTGATGGTGGCTTGGGATGCATGACAGAGGAGAAAGAAAGAATGGAAATTGACAGTACTTGAAGTTCAGGGAAGAGCAGGGGGTGACAGAGACAAAGTAGCTGGAGATGACTCCTTTGATTCAGGTTTGGTGCGACAGAGAAAACAGGGCAGCAGCAGGTGTGGGGTGAGAAGAGAGAGAGGGTAAACTCGATTTGAGATCAGCTGGCTGTCAATGCCTTTGGGTCATACAAGGGGAGAAGTCAACAAGTCCAGGTCTTGGAAGAAAGGTCTGAGCTGGAGAATAAGTTTCCTTGTCAGTAGCTCATGGTGGTTGTTTTAGCCACAGAAGTGGGTGAATCTCTCTGGCGAAGAGCATGGGGTGAGAGCCACGGTAGAGCTCTGGGAGTAACAGACTTTCACGGGGAAGTGCAAGGAGAGAATGCCAACAGGTAGGAGGTTTCTGGGACAAAGCACCACCATGTATGTGCACATCAGTGGGTCTCATCCCACAGTCTTCATCCTTCAGAAAGCTCCTTCTAGACCTTGCTGCAGTCCACACTGATTTATCTTCTCATGGTCATTCTTGATAATAGTGCTGCACCCATCTTGTATATGCTCTATATTTGCCTGCTGGTCTTTACCAGTGGGATCCAGTTTTAAATCATGCTGATTTCTATTTCTTTTTTAGAATTCAGATAAATCAGCCACAGGGAGGCTGTGTGGTGTGTACAACAGTTTACACAGAAGCGGGGCTCCGGTTAGAACTGGGACTGCTTGTCTCTAATGCATGCTGCAGAAATGGCTGCAAATTTGACTCAGATCAACAGACCATGCAGCACCTGACCCACAAACAGGGAAACCCCAGAAGAGAGAAAGACGGAATCAGTATTGCTGAAGAGCCCAATATCGAATGCAGCATGAAGGGCAGGGAGAAAGGCATCCCTGGCAGAGAGAAACATGAACAGCCTTGTTCCCATGCAAGGGCTCACGTAGGGGTGGTCCTGCTAACTGCAGATGGAAGATCAACTCCCATTTACCACAGCAAGCCAGGCTACTCTCAAAAGCTCTTTCCCTCCAAGATACGACTGCACTGTTGGTCTCTGAGGGGGAGAAGAGGAAAACCAACTGAGGGGTAAGAAGGTACCCACTCTTCACGTTCCTTTAAAAAATGAAGAGAAGTTTAGCAGCACCATCAAGGTTACAGAAGCTTGTCTTTATTTCTGGCC